TCTAAAAACCTTGTCTGTCCGACAAGCAAGAACACATTCCTGTCCATCTATTTGTGCATAATGAGCATAAGTCTCAAAGTTTGCACACATCTCTACAACAAAATGCGTTCAAATTAATGAGAGCACGATTGACTTTTTTGATGCTCATGGTTTAATGTTTTCTTGATAGTAGGAATTTCAAAATTTGGCAAAGGGTGCCACAAGTGTCCTACTTTGACATTTATTGATATGAACAAGCTCATGTTGCTACGAAGGAAATTTGTGACGGTTAGTTTGAACGATTGCAAGCTTCTCCAAGTGAGTTGATTATTATGTACCTGGAAATGATCAGGAATTGGGTATATTACAGCTAGTTGTTGAGCTTGTTTTGAGAATTGTACAACAGGCTAAACTATTTCTTTGCAAATGTGGTTTAAAAGCTTCATCTTTTGTGGCCAGTCTATATGCTCCATACACTTGAAGGTCTTGATTTTTATGATCATCTCTTAGCTTTTAGTTGAGATTTTCTACAGACAGTTTTTTAAAACTATTAAATTTTTTTAATAGTTTTAATATTAAATTTTTTTCAGTATCACTATAAGTGATTTTGTTTTACAGAAATTTTGTAAAACAAACCTTGTATACGGTCAGGTTTTTTAGTTGTGAAAAGAAAAATGCAACTTAGAGATAAGGTGTACAATATTGAGATACAAGAGATCCAAGCAGTGGAGGTCTTGAGAAGCAAAGAACATGAGAGTGAAAAATATCCGGAGCAGGAGTTCAATCTGAAGCCCCACATACAAGACAATCAGGTTAACAAAGTTGTTTTTAGATATGATCAGCAGAACAAAAATACTTTTGCGATTTACACAAAATTAGATTGGGATGAGGAGCTTTAAGTGGGAAAATTGATGGACGAGTCCGATTCACAATATAGCATATGTGAAGATGAGCTCGTGAACCTGCCAAGGGATGTTGCAGATCATTTTCAGTTAGTTCAAGATTGTATGTCTGAAGAAATTCTTGAACTTGAGAAGTTTCTCCTTAGTCTCAGCAAAGCTTGACAGCAAAAGAAAAAAAAAAAGAAAAAAAAGAATAAACAAAAAATTTATTGTTTTAAGAATTTCATCTAAAGGTATTGATAGTTTGCATTCAATTTCACTCATTATAGTTTTCATGTTGTAAAGATATTGTAATTATATATATATGTCGTGATCAAAAACATATTAAGATTTTTAGTGCTAAATGTGTTCGTTGAAGGTAGTGGGAGCATAACTTTTATCTTTATTTCTTTTTAAATTATGAACATAGGGTAGACAAACTGTTTTATACTCCTTGCTTCAATTTGTAGTGTGAAGTGGAGGGTGACAACCCGACGCGGAAATTCTCTTTGCGACTTGGTGGAAGAGATTGCATTGCAGGGGCTAGAGGTAGAAAGTGATAGGGATCAATGAAGATCGAATCGGAATTGCTATACAATGCGATGTCTTGTGTGTGTTTTGTTGTTTTGTGTTGTGTTTCCTTCTCGAGAGTCGTTGGTAGTTGTTTGTTTGTGTTTGGATACTCTTCAGTCTTGTTTCTTGATGCGCTTCCGCATAGAAGTTCGCTGATTTTTGGAGTAGTTTACTCTTGTCTGCTGTCGATACTGTGGCTGGATTTTAATCACAAGCGGTTTATCTTTGTTTCTTTTACTGTGAGATTGGAGTTATGACCAGTAAATTGCGAAAGTATTTTTGCAATGATGGCAGGTAAGATTGTCATGTTAAATATATAAATATTAAAATGAAATATATTCTTACAAAATTTGTATAAAAGAATTAAAATCATTTTAAAAAATAAAAAATGTTTATATCTTCATATATTCAAAGATTTTTCAACTTGAAAAAGTTTATTTTCTTAAAATTTACAAGAATTTTATTGAATATCATAAATTTTACATTGGATAATTTGAAAAAAAACTTCAAGAGACTTTGTTTGCTTAAATTATATAGGTTTTTGTTTGAAACTAATGTTAGATATAATTTAACATAGTAACATGAAATATATTGAATTAATTTGAAACATAATGAAGTTTTGATTTTAGGTTCAACTAACATTATTATGAACTTTTAATTATAAATTAAATGTATCTATGCTTAAATCATGTTAAGTAAGATTTGACAAGCAATTTTATAACATAATTTTTTTGGTATCATAATAAGAAATGTTTTTCTTATGAATCATATTGTTTTTAAATTTTAGTCCAAATAATAAAAATTATTGTTTTTCATGAATTCACGTTCTTTTTCATGAAATATAAATCTAAAAGATAATTTAAGAAAGGAGTCTAATCTTCCCACCGTGCTGAGTCATTTTTTCCATACTTCTTCAACACCTTTCTATGTTTTCCCGACATTTCACTACCTCCCTAACGTCTCGCCTTTGTCCCTAGCTTCTACGATTCTCCCACACGCCCTTGGCGCACCAACTTCATGCAACGTCGAACCTCTTGCCATTAATGCGTTGCACACACTCATGGTATTCCTAATAGCCAACAAAAATGGGAATAAGTTCATGGCGTGGCAGTTCAAGGAATTGGTGAGGGGATGAAAAGGGTGGAGATTAGAAAGTCAGAAACGAAAGTGAAAACAGATGTGAGATAGAGGAGGGAAGAGAGGTGGTAAGGGTGGGAATAACAAATCAGCAGCGTGGCAGCATCATTTCCTTTAAAAAAATCCATTTATATTGTAAGTCATAGATTTTGAATTTTTAAATGAATAATAAATTGAAGTACTATTTTCATAGAAAATGTATTTTAATTATAAAAATTATATTATTTGATAAAATGATTAAATTTAATCACAAGTTTGATCCAAGTTCCACAAATGCTTGTGGACTTCATCCCTTGTGCATCTCATCCTTTTGCACGAAGTCTTGTCGTGCATGGCACCTGTTGTACTTACTTTGACGTCGTGCAGTCACTATGGTCCGTTGGGTACAAGTTTGGATTTCATCCCTTCGAAGAAGATGGAGTCTTTTATCCGGATCAAGATCCCCTCGTCACAATTTCACACATTGTTATACGTCCATGCTCAGATTACGTTGTGTGCGAATCGAATGAAACTTCAGAAGGACCGAAAGAGTCTGTCACATCCACATATCAGACTCAGCGTCCAAGAATCTTCTTTACTTATCAGTCGGTGCGTACGTTTCACATGATAATTTCAGTGTGCAAGGAGGTTCAGGATATAGCATTCATGGCAAAGAATCGAACGCAGAAGCGCGTCAGGCAATGTGCGAAGGTGGCAGGTAAGGCTTTGACGTGGCGTCTGCCACAGAGGCATCTTTGACGCAAAGGAAAAAGAAGCAAAACCCGCCAAGTTGCTACTCATTTCAAGAAAGCTATAACCCGGCAAGTTCATATACGCAAGTTTCATTTCACTATAAGCTCATCTCCAGACAATCAGAGATGAGCGTATAGTACGGTAAGGGCTAATTAGGCCTCAATGGGGTAAATAACCGTTCCCAATATTTATACTCTTTGAGTATTATTTGAGATATTTTAGAATTATTTGTAAAATGCAAATGAAATTTTTTTTTCAATAAAAAGATACGTGTTAATACACTTCTTGTAATATGATGACAAAGTAACATTATTTCAAGCAAATTATTATTTTTAATATTGACATATATTTGATCTACAATGAACTTGTTTTATTACTTTGTGAAATCAAGAAATTTATTCTTTGTCTGTAAAAGATTGAATTTTGATATGTTTTTAGATCATTAAATTTTCAAATGTGATTTTTAACTCAAAACAGCTGTTTGCTATTAGAATGTGATAAATCAAATAGTGAATATTTATCATCCAAAAACAAGCTTTTATAAAATAAATTCTTTGATCAATGCAACCAATTTCAAATTTTATAATAATCTAGGATGGGGTGATGATTAATAGTGTATTATGACTACGAACTAATTGAAGACGTTAAAAAAATACAGTAATCTTTTGTTTTAAAATTCTGCGTGTGATATCTTTACTTTTAAAATTTGTATTAGTGACATACTAAACAATCAATTGTCTTTGAACAGCGTGGACGTTAGAAAGATCTTCATAAGACATAGAACAAAACGTATGGGTTAGAGACGGTATTCATAAAGAGAACGAAGAGCCGATACTTAGTCAATTGGGCTGTTAGGCACAACGTTTTCGTTATTCAGATCCTATTTAAAACATTCATTATTATATGTAACAACTTGGGTGTTAGAATTATTAAAAATCTTTCAATAGCCTTCGTTCAATGCAAATGATGATACAATTCTCGTGAGAGAATTTTCGAAATTCACAAATCTGAGGAAAAGACGAGAGATGATTCGATCTCTCTTTGTACATACAAAGGTGGTAGATGGGGATACCCCATGATTGTACAGCGGGGAAAATTACCACGGCGAAATCCCAACCAAGAGCTGCAAACAGACCGAGACCTGAACCAAGCGGGTATGTGAGCTACGCCGTACATCATGCTTCGTAAAGCCAATACCTACGATCATGATACATTGAGTACGCGGCCTTGGGGAGAGGGGATTGACGATGTACGCTTTGTCGTATAGTACAGTCCTGTACTGTACCGTGAACTAGATGTCTTAACGGAGTGTCCTCAAGCTGCGGTGGTCGAGAAAGTAGTTCCCCAAAGGTGTTACTGCGGCGGCGGCGGGCGGGCGGAAGGTGAGGATGATGATTTGAATTCGAGCGTAGAATTGCGTCAATGAGCGAGTAGGATGGACGGACGGACGGCGAGGGCAGGCAGCCAGCATCGACGATCTCGACTCCGACCCGTAAAACCGGAGCAGAAACGAGCGCGCCGTCTTGCCGCCGGTGCCGAGGCTCCCCGAAACCAAACACGACGGACGGAGCGTCCGGAACGGAGGAGTCCACCGCCTCCTTCGCCGGACGAAGCAGCGCTCGTCGGACCCGTTAGCCGCTAACGGGTCGCGACTTAAAATTTCCTTGCCTCCAACGTCCGCCGCTCTTGTTCGGATCGCGGAAGGTTGCAGGCACTGCGGCGGGAAAGGGTAGAATGTAGGGAGTGGTGTACACGTCAACGAGGAGGAGCGTAATGCAGCAGAGTAGATGATGAGCGAGGAGAGGAGAGGAGAGGTGATAATGCGAGCGCAGGCGTGACTAGCCGAGACGTCGAGTGTTGGTTGAGGATGGTACTCGTCGGATGGGATGGCGATCTGGAGCCAGAAACGCGAAGATTTGATGTGATTCCAGATAGTTGAGAGGCGAGACGCGAGTTGTTGTGAGCGTGTACATTTTACTGCCGACCTTACGTTCGTTCGGCAGGATAGACAGACGGGCTGAGCTTCTCGGAACCTCATGTAGACGTATTAGGTAGGGCTTGCCGCTTGCCATGGAGTTGCAGCGACCTCCTCGTCCTCGTCCTCTTTTTCCTCGTCCTGTACATGTGACTCCGAATGCTTGGTTCCTCGTCCTATCCATACAGCTTCCTTCCTTTTGCTTCGAATGCCCGAATGGGCCGAACGAACTCCTCTAGAATGATGCAATCATTAGGCACGTCAAGTCTACCTCACTCTGCCGGTGCGGATTTCGGCTCCCTGCGTGTCTGAGTCGAGGGCCAAAATCCAATCCCCATCATCTCGCCCTTGCGCTGTCGAAAGGATATCGAAGGTCGATCGAGGGGTCCATCCCCGCACCCGCTGGGTATGTTGTGAATGTTTGTAATAGTTTGGAAGTTCTTCCTTGTGCTGTATCTTCACTATGGAGTTCAGAAAGTCTGCTTGAAATCCTGAACCAATTTAAATCGACCGACCACGCAAGGAACATGAATTGGGATTGAGGTGACCGAGACGATTGAAGTTACCGCCTGCGCTAAGCAAGGATATCTAGTCGAGTTGAGAGTCGCTTCTCTACGAGATTTGGACGATATTGGCTGCCTGGACTCCTATAATAGTTGGCTGTAATACGTGCTGCGAATTGGCTCCAAGTTCCCTTCAGTAGTTACATCATTGGCAGATTCGACACATCCGGTTCTTACATCTGCCGATGCTTCAAACAGTACTGGCTCTCTTCCCCTTTCTTTTTGAGGAGGGAGACATTGACGTGCTGTGTGCTTCTTAATTATGTACTCAAACGCATTCGATCATATCCGCACTGCAGCCGGGGCCGACGCAATGTGGCAAAATTTGTAGAGTTGGAAACTATTCTCCCAGACTGTCCACAGTTTTGAAGAGCTCGTGGCGACTATCGGGACAAGTGGTTCCACTAGCTCCACGAGCGAGTGCCACAGTCAGCAAACTATCAAGCAGCATGGGAAACGGGAAGTCGTAATTCTACAATTTTATTGTGTTCGAGTAAGGAGGACTTTCACATCCTTTCGCAGCTAGGTGAGGTTCAATTGATAAACTATAAATAGACTCCAGAAACTATGCCCGCATGGGACTAAAGTCGGTGTCTGAGGATCCCTTGTCAGGTGCAGCACCTACGAGCGGGGCCTGGTGGGCCAGCACGCGTGTGCGTTTTACATCTGAATTGAATTGGAGGTCACCTATAGAATGGATTATATTGTTTCGATACTGGCGGGTATTTGCTCGGCGCATTCAGAATGGAGAAGGAAATTGCACATGTGAAGATACAAAAAGGAGTTGGGAGCTTTGTAGCACATCTCATCGCAACGATATCGTTAGAACAGTCAGCCTTAGGATCTTTCTCTCCTCTTCACCTCATAATAGCTTAGATACCATGGTGTCGAGAATGTGTACCGCTGGTAACGTTAGGGACTGATGATTTCGGGACTGATGATTTCGAACAGTTCGACATTCGCAGACCTCGTTGTAGCGGTCGAGTAGCAGAAATCTCAGATGAACATGCTGCACATGTTCCGAGGAGACCGAATGGCGAGCTACAAAACGAATTATCATATTCGGCATAGTTATCAACCAGCCTATGTTTCTAGCAATCGTCGGAAGATATCTTGCGTGCAACCTTTCAGAAATTAGAAGTAGAAGCTGGTGGAATTTTTTCATTGGTTCCGTTCTTGTATTTATTGTTTCACGAACAGTGATCAAGCTGAATGCGTATCTACATTCGCGCCGATCTTCTCTGAGACTCAGACTATTATCGAACTTGACTCAGACGCTAGATAGATGAAGGTGACAAATTGATTTTGCGGCTTGAATTGTTTCGTTCTGATTGCACATCGCATGGCGCATATACATGTCTTATATGTATGTGCTAGAGCTCACTCAAAGTAATTTCTGCTTCTACACGTGAAGTGTCGATCCTTTGAAAACATATTCCGGTAAATAATACTGAGTACGCTTAAGCTCCCATATTCTTGGAATGCGCTGTCGGAGGTTGAATAAAAGGGTTCTGCACCTGCTAACTCTTGATGACATTTGAATATTGGCAAAGAACCCTGTAGGGAACCTGGAACCTCATGCAATATTAGCTTGAAGGATTCTTATCAATTTCATGTTTCCTGTTTGCCATCTCTGCAGTTCAGCGAGAAGCTTACGAGATAATTGCCACGGATCGAGAGCGAAAAATGGCTGAGCTAGCCTGGTTGACATCTTCGCCAGCAGCCAAAGTGACTTTGAATGCATCTTCTTCGTTTAGCAACTCGAACGAGAACCTTTTTGACCTGCTACAAGGTCGCTTGGGGAGTGGAGCGTTCGGGGGAGCAGCAACAGTAGATTCTTCATCGTTTTTCCGCACATCAGATCAGATGACGAATGTAACAGTAGCTTCGAATCATACGGAGTCCACTGTGTCGCTGATGAAGGCGGAGGACGGAAATAATCATATGCATTCGCCTCTTTGGGTAGCTGCCGGCGCTGCTGCTGTAGCAACAGATGGTATCTACAGCTCTACTGGTCCGGCAGCAGCTCATGTGCCATCCATTGATAGCACCCAATTGTCTTCTTACGTCAAGCCGCACGATCCTTCGCCGCAGCTTCAGGCTCTACGTGACTTCATGGCTTATGGGAGCAACGTTAACAACCATTCTATGTCGACAGCAGTGGATAATATCAACCTTGCGCCCGGAAATCCAATGTTCCTGCACTTGGGTGAAGAATCTCCCGCTTCATTGCTCATTGGAATGCCTCACCACTCCAATCCCATATCTACTTCTCCTAGCAAAGGTCCGGATATGATGGCGTATAGAGCTCTATGTCAGGCCGAGCTTTTTGCGACAGAAAGGAGCCCACACAGAACGCAATTCCAACGAGAAAATCACATCCTTGCAGAGCGTCAGCGCAGGGAAGAAATGAACGAGAAGTTTTCGGCCTTAAGGGCAATGATACCCAAAGCAACCAAAGTACGTACCAGAACCAAAGTAACCCATTTCTTTCTGCACACAAGAGATTAATTTAGGCACTATCCTGACAGGATCCATGCTTTTTTGGTACACCATATATCTTCTACTAATTTTAAGTCTTCCTGCAGGAAATTATCAGTCCTTTTTAGAATTCTGCGTATGAAATATTCGTGAGCAGAGACCGTTCCTCATGTTGCTGTTCGAAGAATCATCGGCAAGATTTTTGGCGATCGTAGTCACGTCTTAACTGAACGTTCATGATGGAAATAGTTACTAGCTGCAACGTATCGTGTCCATGTACGTTCTGAATATAACTGGCATGGAGATGACAAGTGCATTTCAAGGTCCACCACATGAAGTTCATTCACGTCAAATTGACGTGGATGAGACTTGAAGTTCAAACGACTCCAGATATAATTCAGAAACATGTGTTTGCATGCAAGCAGTTGTTTCTCATGTAGATTTGGCATCGAATTCTCGCATTAGATACCTTGTATGGAGAGCTTTAGAGCATTTTTCAGCCTGGTCTCTTGCTGTACTTCACTCTACAGCTAAATGATCGATTGTTGTCTGAACATCGTGTACGAGTGTTCGTCTGTTCAGTCGGAGAGGGTCACTTTTGGCTGATTCTACCTGTCAATACTGACAACGAATTATGTGTTATGTGCCATTTGACCAGAATCCTAAAGACCTCAGATGCGACAAATGAATACAATATAATGATATAAACTGTCAAAAAAGTAGTAACTTCTGCAGTTTTCTGTTTTCTTGTTTTAACGTGTTTTTTGAATGATAAGCGAAAGCCTCATTCTCAATCGCAGTTGTAATTCTCAGCTTTAGTAATTCGATTCGTGAAATTTCTTAGATCTGGTACTCTCGACCAAGAAGGATCGGGTTCTATTTTCCAGTTTCAAGTTTTAACTGCGACAGCAAAAATACTTTCAGCATAGAGATGAAGCACAGTTTCAATAGACTTCAAGCGGGTATAACCCCTCATGATTTTCCCTGACATTCATGGAATCTGTTTGCAGAAAGACAAGGCGTCCATTGTAGGAGATACAATCGCGTACGTGCTGGAGCTGGAGAAAACCCTAAAACAACTGAAGGCCTGCAAAGACAGTCGAAAGGGATTCAGCTTCAAGCTTCTAAAGAAGAAATCTTCTTCAAAAGTATTGGAAGACAACGACAGATCGACCTCAGACACAGCACCAGATACAGCTGCCCCAGAGGAAATGAAACCTGGTCCGGGATGTTCGAACTCAACAAGATTTGAAGACATTGTTTTAAAAGAGTGCAAAGAAAGAGAAGAGCCGACAATAAGTTCATCGGATAACATCAGTAGAGACTGCTCTCATAATCATCATGTAAATTCTTCTATCCCACCTGCGTAGACGTGCAACGCGATGTCATAGACGACGATGTGACTTCGTACTTGCTAGAAAAGCATGCTTAACTACTTAGATATGTTCAATAGCAATTAACCCTCGTTAGGGTAGGCACAGATCCCCGGGAGGTTTGTGCACGAAGGGATCCATGGTCGATGAATTTCTCCAGGCCTGGATTTCTTTGTTTCATCTAGGTCTTAATTCATGACTTCAAGACGTCGTTCCCTGCATACTGTATCATAGAGCGCGCTCTTGGTCCACAAGGACTTGCGTGGAGGAGCAACCAAAGTTTTGGACTAGTGAGCTAATCCCGTATGATCGCATGCATAGATTAAAAGTCTATTCTTCTACTTCACATGCAAACTCTAAAATTTGACTTTCGTAGCATTCTGATATCATCACTCTTACACAAGCGACACCTAACCCTTAGTAGAACTGAGTTCATGCACGTGGAACTTTAAAAGACTGTTATTAATTTTGCAGAAACCCATGGAGAAGGACAATCTTTTGGACATCGACATTAGTAGTAGCTCTCAGGTTGAGGTACAAAATCTAGGAGAGCAAGCCGTTATCAAGATAGTGTGCGCCCGCAGTCGTGGTCTTGTTCTTCGAATCATACAAGCTTTGGAGGAGTGCAAAACGGAAATTCTTCAGTCGAATGTAACAACAGTTTCTCAACATTCTGTACATTTTATCACTGTGCAGGTACAGTCATTTAGCCTTGAACCCTTTAGCTTGGAGTTGACTTTATCGGTCAATTTTCGCACATCAAATATGCACTAAAGGGTATAGACAATTTTTATCCAGCGTCTAATAGATACGGAATTAGTAATAAAGTTGCTCTCTCCTGTGGAAAGATGTCAAGAATTGTAGATATCTAAATGGCTATCCCGCTATTTGGTTTTAAGAATATCTGCCCACATCGATTTACCGTCACTCAGATTGCTCAAGACGCCAAGAGAATTTCAATTTGTAATTAACATTTTGTTGATAGCTTCTACTAGGTCTTTTTCTCTTTTTTGAAGAATCTTCCATATCTGAAATGTAAGTAGAAATAGATCAAGTCTTTGCATAGGAAGTATATGTATGCATGACTGCAACTTCAGAAAGGAGGCACCGGATCAATAGACGGCCTACAACGACGACCATACACTGTTTTGCCTTTTCTCACAAATAGGAGTATCAGTCAGAGTGACCAAACTTAGTCGCATACTGTAGTCACATAGCCTTCAAGTTACAACGTATTAATTGAGCTTTTATCTCACAGATCAATTCGGGGCTGAGCTGTTCAATAGAGCAGATGGTCCAAGCTCTTCTTAAAGCTTCAAATCCGAATCAGATTGCGGAGACATGACAACAGTTACGCCGCAGCGGAAGAGACCAAACAACTTTTAATAGCCGGCCAAGTCTAGATGCACCCAGTTGATGTAATGAGTTGACTCCTCAAATTCACTTGTTACTGCATGCAAAATTACCGGTGAGTGTATCGATCAATTTTGATCATGTAGTAATTCAAGTACAGTCTCCTTTAGAAAATCTTTGGGTAAAAGGATCCCCAATCCGACTCGGTACAGAAGAAATTTCTCTTTGTATTACAAGAACAGATATAGCACCCCCATCAACACTAGTCAGACTACTGAAGTAGCTCAGAGAAGTTGGAGAGGTAGATCACAACTTGTGGTGAGAATCCTCTCCACCGACATCTCAACAAATACTTACACTATCCCTCAAGCAACAAGGTCTAAAATGTCATAAACAGAGACCAGCACTGACTAAACTATATTCCCTACATTAGCTACGAAAGTAGTCAGTTCCACGATAACAAGGTAGGCTTTAGTCAAGTAGGGAGTTTGATTAGAGGATGAGATTTAGTTCATGTCTTTTCAGCATCCCTCAAGAAGATGTGAGGTGCTTCTGGTTCGACCTGGTAAAGTCCAATTTTCAAACCTCTCACTAGTTCTCCAATTGGCTTCCCAGTCCAGTCCAGAAGACATGTATCAATTGGTTGTTGAGCTTTACACATCCCAGTTTGCGGACTTATGTTAGTGCACTTACGTCCCATGGAGTTCGTTACCTTGACATCTGGCCCAAGATATCAAACTCAAGCTTGATGTTTCATGAAATTTCTCCAGGCAAGTAGCGACAATTTCCTTTCCTCCTATTAGACTACTCTTCGGACCCTACACCTTACTCACTGTGAACCACTGAACATTGATTGTCATAACTAAATGTGCTGCAATTCGGAAAAGTCTGCAGTCCGGTGCCGCTAAATTACATCCAAAAATGGCATTTTCGATCCAGAGATCAAAAGGACTCTGTTAGCGCATAATGCCACGAGATTGTGTATTGGATGTTGTTCAATATGTGAGAATATGTCGCATTCAGTTATGTTGCCTTGTATATACTTATAGCGCCACTTAGTTAAGTGGGATATGGGCACTTGCTGGTACACGGTGTAGAAAAGTGAAATCGGAATTTTTATTTTTCTAAGCTGGGGTTTACGACGAAGCTGAGGACTAAGCTAGGTGCGGAATCATAAAGAGTCATTGTCTACACCATAGTGGTTGCACTATCCTCGAGCTTAGAACCTGTACTGGCAATGTGCTATCTTGAGAAGTTTTTTTATAAGTCCAACGCAACGACAGGAAGTAAAGAGTTCTAGAAGGTTAAGGTAGAAGATTGAGAACAAACTCAAGCACGCATACAGAATCTGAAGATGATGCACGTCTTCACACGTGGACTTACGACTTATCATGGACCCATCATCGGTCATCAGCTTGGTGGACACCTGTGGACCAGCTGCACGTACTATGATTTTCTAGTATCGATCTAGGTACTCTGGTACGTGCTATATCAAATTTCCTGATTGGAGTTTCGGGAAGTGGTATTATCCGGTAAGTTTTAACGCACTTCTTTACTGCACTACGGTAGGCAGCACAGGTTTGACGGAAGATGAATAAACAAGAATTTGGATTAGAGCAACTCCGCCAAACACTTGGTATATATAGAACCATCGATGTTTTCTCTAATTAATTATTAGTTGTGTGTTTTGACTTCTTTTCGGAGAGTCTAATCTTCAATAGGACACAATCATGGTGCTACGTCCAAAGGCTTCGGAATTGTAGATGTCGTTCGAGAAGTCTTACTTCCCCTCGCATGCAAAAATCAGAGACAGGACACATTTTTTTTACCAGTACCATAATGAATGTCTGTAATATGTTGAAAGTTTGAAGTTTCTGCGAGTTTTTTACTGGTACTGGAAAATTTTAAGGTGACGACTTAGAAATTGCCAGTTCTGAAGGTGAATTGATGTTTGTTTCGATTCGCAGGTAAACATTTTTTCCAAAATCAAATTGAGACCGGCTGGACATAGAAGGTTTCAGAGTCCAAAATGTCCAAAATCTGTTTGTGAATCCAAGTACTTCTCCACTTATCAAGTTCCAACTCTTTACTAGAATTTCATGCACTTGGGAGATGCCGTGAAATGGAGTGTACTGTACTTGCCAATTAGAAGCCTTCACACCCCAGGCCCCTTAGCTTTCAGTACCCGAACCTGATCCACAATGATAAAAGGCACGCCCACCAGTAATGAATGCGGGCAAATTATGTGGAAAGCCCGAAATTCCGAGAGATGAATCATGACTGCAGGAGGAGGAGGAAGATTTGAGAAGATGCATTATGCCCGGTACGTAGCGTGGGAAACGTACTCTCAGTGGATCCACTGCAATCAAAGAGTCTGGATTGGTTTTGCTCACCGGTGTGATTGGAAGATGATAGATTTGAACTGTCTCAGCATGTACATAAGTACAGTAATCATCGAGGAAGACGAGTCTCGGAATAAGTATGTCACATAACGATGAATCAAGCGCAAATGTGGAATCTTGCGATTTGATAGCGCGAGCTTATTACAAAAGGACCCAACCGTCATGGACTTTGATCAGCCATGGCCACGTACATACACGTACAATTAGTTTGATGTAAAGCGCGTAAGTACTCCACAACTACTTGACGACCGTCCATGTCAGTGCAGTTCGTTCTGCCTGTCTCGTCTGTTAGAACATTTTCCGGTTCATATTCTCACAATTGTACTCCTTCCAGTTCCTCTCCATTTGTTGTTGTCATGATATCATACAGATAAACTAAAATGTTGTTTTCTACTTATACATCTTGTACTGCTCCGGGCCGTGCTCCTCTTCACGTGCGGTGAGAGCAGGCCCTGCTGTGCGATGCAAGTCAATTTTGTACAAAGTCCCCAATCCCCTGGTTATCCCCGATCCTTCCTGTCTATGTCATCTCATCTCGCTAATAAACAGGTTCATGATTTGATTACAGACATGAAATTTATACGCTCGAGTGACAAGATCTAGGGGACAAACAATCTGCCTCTCAGGTCCCACTCACCCTTGCTTTCCGCTAACAGAGAGGGGCACCCTTTCATTTGGAGTTTAGTCCCTCCGTCCACCCCAGTAGAATTGTCGAGCTCACTTAACACCCTTTCTTTCCAGTACATCCGACTTTGAGCTGGTTTTATAAGGGGTTCCGTCACAGCCGTTACCTTCTTTTTTTTATTATCAATGATAAAATGAGCAGAAGATGTTTATCAATGTTATATACATGAGAAAATAAAAAAAGCACCTTTGACTATTGAAGACATATAATAAAGTATCACTTATAAAGTAAAATAATTCTCATACAAAATATTTTTTTTATTTTACTTTTAAAAACATAATCAATGCCTTCATAAAAATCATGATTTGCAATTTTGATGTATAATATGATTAAAATAAAATTCTTTGAAATACATTAAATAGAATCATTGATTTTGGTCTAGAAAAATGTGTCTTATTACAAAAATTGAAGAAATTCTTTAATAAAGAAAGTTAGATAGATCAATCTAAGTTTAAATCATATATGTAATGAATGAATTCATTTGAAAAATTTAAATTACCGTTGTTTAAATTTTAATCGTTATTTAAATTGAATTTAAATAACGATTTAATTTTAAACGTTATTTAAATTGAATTTTGCAATTTAAAAAATTCAAAATTTTCAAAGTAAATATAATTTAAAAACCATTCATCATAATTTTACATCTACACGAGATTACATTTTGACTTTAAGATAAATTCATAAGTTTTAGTTTTCAAATATAATAAAATTTAACTTATAAATCTGCTATTATGAAAATTATCAATACCAGACATATCACATATGTTTATATTTATGATAATATTTATTTATGTATAGATTTATTTTTAAAAACCCTTAATATTTGTAAATCAATCAATTGACAAACATCAAGAAAAAATTTTAAATTGAGATTATTTTTTGATAGAAATAATACTGTTATTTTTCTTCTTCAACATCAATTTTCATGGATTCAAAATTCATTATTCAAAACATACTTAATATAAATATATATTTCTTTTGAATAAAAAATAATTGATTGACAAAGATGAGTTTATTTTTTTGCATCTATTTAAAAGATTGGTAATAATTAGTCAACAAATATTTATGCAAAAAAAACTTGTTGATTCAACATATTTGAACAATCTGATTTTGTTCGTGGTTTTATTGATAAAATTTTAGATAAGTCAAATATTTTACAATCATAGCATGAAATTATGAGATTTAATATTTATGAAAAATATTAATATATTTCACATAAAATGAATAAATATTAAATATTAATCTTTTCATAAATGAATCATTATCCAAAACTTCATCCTATGAACAGGAGATATTACATCTTGTATAATATCTATATAGTAAATTTGTAGCATACATATATGCACTATTGTATTGTAGATTTGATTGCTTTAATTTTTTTTCATAAAAATTAAGGATTGAAAATTTTCTTTGATAAAGTTATACAATTCAATTATTTCAAATTGCAAGTTAGAAAAATATTGCTATAAGATATATTGGTAAATCATATATTAGATAACTTGTTCATAAACTATTTTCTTTTAATTTTTTATTATGTACATAATCAAATACAAAAACTTGTATTTCTTATGTTTATGCTTGAAGTGAAAAAAACATAATGATCCTGTTACAATACAAGATTTTCAAATATAGTTTGATTCAATTTATCAAATAATATTCAATGTAACATAATAAAACTCAAAAAACAATGAAAAAAACATCATGATTATTATAACTTAATGTGAAAATAATGCAGGGTGGCTAAAACCGGTAAATTTTTGCAAACTCAATCGGTTTGATGGTTTAATATAATAAACTTGATATTTGATGGGTTTTTTTATTGACATGTGGACGTCTCTGAAATGACTTCATCAAGCGTAAGTAACAAGTGGAAGTCTCTATTAGAGACTTCCACTTGTCTCTCTCATTGCAACTGCGTATAGAGACTCTCTATTTGCTATCGCAATCATCGGTTCCATACTCCTACACATCGTAATCGTAGAAGGTTGACAAGTTGCCCTTGATGTTTGTGAGCTTATCGACGCTATTCGGGATCAGGGAGTTCCTCACCTTCGAATGAATGAAGCCCATTTTCGACCAGTTTCGCTATGAGGCGACACTTGACGCCGCCATGTTGAAGAGCTTGATGACCACACTTTGCAACTCTGGGCCAATATTTGTCATCAACTAACCAATACTGCAAAACGGACTTGTGGCCTTTGAATACCATTATGTAGCGCATCGACTCCTCCTCCTTTGCTTTAGTCGCGGCGATGACGAATCTGGTGTACTGCTTGAAGATGATTTGCGCTTGCGCTTTGTCGACAGACTTGCACGGCTCATCATCAACAAGAAATCAGAACAAGATGTCTTCCAACACTTCACAATTTTGCTTCATCATTCACTCCACAATGAACCGTGAGTCGAGCATGTAGGTCAAACCGTGTGTGTTGCCGTACATAAACATCAATCGCGAGACGCATGTCTTAATCAAATACGCAAGCTCATCCTCGTTGATGATATTGGCGGCGAGCAACTTCAAAAACTCAAGGGGCAATGCGTGGAAATTTGGCATCATCTTTGAGATGAAAATCTTCTCTGATTGGTACTTGACGATGAGGATGTCGATGGGCGCCAATATCTCGATCGTCTTCTTCAAAAGATCAAAAAATTTCAGGTTCGTAATAATTTTCTTGACCTTAATGCACTCCTTGACTTGGGCGACCGTTCCCTTCATGAAGTTGCGTGAAGAGACGATCGCATGCATATGCTTGTCTGAAGTGAGCAAGGTCTTGCACGTCTGTTTGATGGTGCTCCAACGGGTGGAACATAGATGAACAAGGCTTCGAGCACCTGAAGCTTTCTGCATCTCTTCGAGTTGCGCCTTGACCACATGGTAATTGTGATAGAACTTTATGATATTTTTGCACTTGTTGATGAAAAGTAGCATCTTCTCAAACGTATGGTTGATCGGATACGTCGCCGTGTCGTTACCCGCTTTCTTAGTCTTTGTTGCACAGAAGATGTACTTCACAAACAAGTGCAACCCTTGGTATGTGCAGCCTTGGAAGAAGCGGGAAGGTATTTTGTCGCGTAACACTATACATGACTTCTTGTCGCATAACACTCGTGTTGTCCGTCACCGCACCTACAAACGTCGTGCTCTCGTATATCTTGAACACGCGTTTAACGGCATTGGCAATGAACTTGTGGTCGTGTACTTGATGGCCCGTCAGCACTGCCTCCATGTACAAAGAGAAATCGGGAGAGACGATCATATAGTTAATGATTGTGTCGTTCTTGATGTTAGATTAACCTTAGATGGTGAGGCATGTCAAAGAATTATGAGACCACATGTTGCACATGTGTACTAAGTTGTAGAAGTAGCCAAGTGATTAATGATGATTAGCCAAGACATAGCTAAGTCTAACTAGCTATGACTAAATTGGTTAGTTATAACTAAGTTTATCTCGTCATGACTAAGTTTAGCTATAATGTCTATATTTGGCAAAATAATTAACAAAGTTCTAGAAGATTGGAGTTAACATTCTATTTTGTATTTTACAAAGATCTAGATTCTAAGTGATTAGATATTTGACTATTAGCTTGGATTTGATTGATTTAACTAAATGTACAAAATATCATTGGCTAGATTAAGACTAATGTTGATTTAATGACTATAAAACTTCTATAAGTTTTAAAGGTTCCAATGGCATGTCGCTATCTCAACCTTGGATCTAAAAATTTCTAGAAGTTTTAGATAGGCGAATAGCATGTTGCCACGTATAATGGGTTAATCAAACCTACCTAGTAAAAAATGAGTTATGAGATAATACCACATGTTAGTACGATAATTTCAAGTAGCGTCTCTCAAGCAAGTTTGAAGATTTCATGTGTGAGCACTTGTTTCATGAATGAAAGAGTGAGGTTTTTCAGTATCGACGTGTGTTTGAGTTTGTGTGAATTGAATGATGTATGAAGAGTTTGTGTGTGATAGGGTATTTGGGATACAAGTATAAGTGACAATCCTAGTCTTCTAGAACCATGATAAACTACCACAAAGACATCTGAGGTAAACCTGAGTGAGAGTCAGCCCAAAGGTTAGAAAACCTTTCATGAGAACGTCGACCTTCGCCTTAAGTTCTTTGTGGCACTTGTCAAGCAGGGATATCACCATCTTCTTTCGACTCGATAGCAACCCATCATCGGGACGAAGCATCTTGATAGCATTCATTAAATGTATGTCTTCAATACGTTGGAAGAAGGTGTCGGTGGCAAAGTAATGCATGGAAATCTACTTTTGGAACTCATATTTCTCGACATAACACACCTTCGGAAGCTCGTAATCTTTTATCCATCTCTTAATGTTGCTACTGGCGGCCTGGCTCATATTTGGCAAATTTGCACGTTCTACATAGAACGTAACATGAAGCAGATCTATGTAGATCTGTTTCATGTTACGTATGAACAAGCAATGGCGATCTGCATCTTCCAGTCCATTCATGAACGTGCGGAACATCTGACACTTGTTGAAGTGAATCTTGACGGATTCGCTCTTTTTGTGATGATCGACGAGGTTGCTATATTGCTTGCATTTGACACTCTTGGCATTCTACGGATTGGCATCATTCATGAATAAGATCCAGGCCGTGATTGTAGGACGACAGCGTTTGCAACCTTGGAATCCATCTAGTTCCATAGTAATGAACTGGCTTGAAGCAAACGACAACATTGGCCATTGCGTCTTTAGTTGAAGGTTTTGCTGCAGACCAAAACGAATGACGATAACGAGCTCAAGGGTAATGATCATCCGTCAAAAAACCAATTGAATTAAAGTCATTAGTATCTAGCAGATACCAACGCCGATTATATAACAATATTATAATCATAGTACCCACCTCATTAAAATAAAATTAAACCCCATATATATGGCCTCAAAGACATTGGGTTAACCTCAAAACCTAACATGATATAACATCTAGTCGTGCTAGCTTTGAAATAATGATACTTTAGTATTAATTCAAATATTTTTTTAAAAATAATTTTAAAATCATTCTTATTATTATTATTATCAACTTTTAATTGTCATCACAAAAATATTGAGTTTGCAAAATATTTTAACACTCATTCAAAACAATCATTATCCAAAAACTATTTCCTCATGATTAAAATTTTTGATTTAAAAAAACAATTAGAAAATAAGTAAAGTATTCATATTAGATTATTTTTGTGAAAATTTTAAAAAATGAAAATTATTAGATTTCAAAAGTATAATGTTTGTCTTTGTCACAGTACTGCCATACGGATCCAGCCGGCCCCTCCACGATAAAGCCCTGCGCATCTCGGTTCTCCACCATGACCAGCTACGTACTTGACGACAAGTTCCCTGTGAGAAGCTCGAAGAAATAGGTGAATGGTGTAGCAAAATCTCATGTCCGTGTGGCCACACTCTGGTAAGTGTACATGAGCAGCAGATAACCAGATATGGGCCTGTGCGCGTAATTATTCAAATTGGAGCAATCGTCTGCTGCCTCCATGATCATTTAGAAAATTGCCTCTAAAGCGGAGGTAACCCAAGAATATCTCGAGATTCTCAAGGCAGTCGAGTGAGCTACCTCAGTGGGCACTGGCACATGCTCGCCCCCACGGCGTACAGGCACGCGATGGTTGTGCTGCATCGATGATCATCTGCAGGTCCGATATGAGAGCGTGTCTGTTGCCCAGGGGCAGGCCTACCTACAAAAAGAGACACATCTGCCTACGAGAAAATCTTCATCTTCGACACACTTGTCGTTTGATCCAGAATGGTCCAAAAATTGCAGGCTCAAACACAGCTCTTCAGAGATTGCGCAAGTGGCCAATTCGACTGAACTCTTGAGGATGATTGAGAGTGATGAACGGTGATTGATCTCTTTTGCAAGTCCTTAGGTCCTAATTTAGAATGCCTCGTCTTCCTTCTTGTAAGAAGACCTTGAAATTCGTGACGGACAAAGGACAAAGACTTCCAGGAATTGCTTGCTTCGAATTCACAGAATACTCCGTAAATCCAAGACCGACTCCGTCGCGTCGGTCAACACTGCATTTAAACTAACCCCAACGCTCGAAACTGTCTGGGAAGGTTTATTGGCACCTGAAGACTAGAAGGTGAAACTTCCACGGACCTGAGCGAACACTTGAGGTCCGTGGAAGCATTACACCAACCAACCACATGCTTCCTGCACTGACGATGTTCAGCGATTATCAAACAGATTCCAATGAGGAGGAAATTCCATTCACCAAAGGAGGCCCTCAGTAAGAGAAGGGAACAGGGATACAGCCTGATAGGCATCAGTGCGGACGACAACTATCCCATTGTATGACGCAGTCCGGAACAGATAAACCCAGCATTCCCATGCATACACTTAAGTGCTGTAGTCAGCAGAGCTCTTTCATGCTCGATTTGCAGTCGACGAGTTTCGGCGTAGAAGATTTGTGGAGAATTCAGTTCACAAGCTGGTGGATGCCAAGTGGGCCCGTCAGAGGCCCACTTGGCAAGTCCTAACTGCTTCCAGATCCATTCCACAAATACTCGGTCCAACGAAATGAGCCCGAACTGAGCTCAAGAGCAGATCCACAACAGGACGAGGCATGCCGCCCGCATGCAACCGATCAGGAGAAGCATGACGATCCAACCGCATGAACTGGCAGATTATCCACTCGAGTTTTCAGCCTGTTGTTATACAACGTATCATCACTCCTGGTCCGATGGCCGCAGACGGCGGCAGCTCCCAAGGGCTCACCGAGAGAGAGGGAGCCTGAGAGGTCACCTGCCTTCGAGGTGACCGGCTGAGGCGAACAACGATTCAGCGACCGGCACGGACGACCGGAGAGATCATGTCAACTCATGAGGAATCTGAGCTGATTCCTGGTCGACACGTAGATTCAACGTGTCGGTCGGGATGAACGACACATCGGAGCTTGCTTCCACTTGGCGACACATCAAGGCGGCGCGTGGCGCATCGGAGGTGGCCTCGGCCGCGTAGGTTCGAAGTCAGTGAAGCACGCCGATCGATCATAGATCGCTAGAGAGAGCTCTCCAATAAATTACATCGACGAAGAAATAGTCATACGGATTGGATAGATTTCGAAAGCGAACGAGGCGGAGAGTGATTACCTCTGTGACAAGAGAATTGAGGTGAGCTCAGTGCAGCTCGAAGGCGCAGACATTTGATGTTTGTTCATGCTCGTTCGCGGAGAAGCCTTTGGGGCGCCGGGATAATGATGAACGTCGTGGCAATGTGGATGCTGCTCTCGTCGCTGGGAGCAGCGATGGTGTTGTCGCCGGAGCCGGTGCTGGTGAAGCCCGGGGAGTCCTCTCATCCCCTGAAGGCGGCGAGGGATGCTTCCAAGGAGTCGATCGGGTACGCGGCGGAGGCAGCTCGCAAGACCGGCGAGGGCATCCGGCAAACGGTGGCATCGGGAGTGCAGTCCACCGGCGACATGGCTCACTCTGCCATGGACGCCGTCAAGGACACATCGCAGGCCGGGCTGGAGAAAATCGGTCTGGCCTCGCCGGAGCGGAGCACCTTCGAGCAGTGGGAAATGGGCCTTCAAGCTGCCAAAGACAAAGCCGCAGCTGCCGCCGGGGGAACTCGGGCCACTGTGGCCGATGCTGCCGATCGCGCTCAACAGAGTTTCGACAACCTGAAGAATCACGGCAAGTTGGACTCTCCCAGCGCCACAGAGCTCGCTCGGGAGAAGTATGAGAATCTGAAGAAGTATGGTCAGACGGAACCGCCGAGCACCACTCAAGTCGTGAAGGAAAAAGCAGCCGGTGCCTACGACGCCACCAAAGAAGCAGCAGGTAAATTATATGTTCACCCCTGCAATTACACATCCTCGTGTTGTACATTGCGCGAACTGACGCCATCTGCATCGAGAACACATTGAACTCACTTTGGCAACTGATTACAGCAATGCTTGACTGGTAATCTTGAATAAAATCTCAGGGTTGTGAAATTATGACGTGTTTTTTCAGGCGATGCCGCCTCTGCTGTCAAAGATAAAGCAGAGCAGGCAGCCAAGGGTGTGAAAGACACGGTGCTCGGAGCAGGGGAGACGATTCAAGACGGTGCCCATTACACTTACAAGACTGCAGAAGAAGCCGCTGCTGCAGCGAAAGAGAAATTGGAGAATGTGGCTGGAAGCGTGAAGAAGACAACTAAAGACAGTGTCCAGTACGGAGAAGACAAGTCCTCTGAGAGTGCTGACTATGTCAGTGATCTTGCACGCAAGATTGCCCAGACAGTGCAGGACAACGTCGGCGAGGCAGGAGCAAAAGCTTACGATACGGCCAATTCTGCTAAGGACTCCACTTACGACACCGTGGGAAGCGCTTACGAATACGCCGCCGATGCTTTGAAAGATGTAAGTGGGAAGACTTCGGACGCCTCTTATCCAGAGCAGATGAAAATGGCGACCGAGAAGGCCGCAGAGATTCTGAGGAATAGAGGAAAAGATGCCGCGAATCTCATGCCCAACGTTGGACAGGGCCTCTCAATGAGCGGGTCATCTGACAGCAGCCTCAAAGAGAAAGCAGACGAGTACATTGATTCTGCCAAAGACAAAGCCGGAGAATACTACGAGAGTGCGAAAGAGGCCGTGGCAGGCAGTGCCAAGAAACCGCAGACCAACTGGAGAGAAGAGTTTCTGAACAAGGTAGGAATCAGGGAAGAGGCAGATCTTTCCAAAGTTGATGTTGTGGTTGGAAATATCAATGGGTACTGGAATGGTCGTGACTGGAGTGGTTCGGGATTATTTCAGAAAGCCGGTGAAGCTCTGAATACCGCTGCATCAGGAACCCAGGGTGCTGCGAAAACTGTGAAAGATAAGGTAGAATGTACACCTTGACCCTGATGAATAGATTCGAGCCTTCAAATCGTCCGAGGACCTTCTATAGCTACTTAAACAATCTATCTATCTAACCCTGTAATGGGAACGAATTTTTGTGATCGCTCAGTGTTTAGCAACATGAGGACGTCAGCTCCATGTGGACCTCTTCAACTGTTGTTGTTTTCGTCTTGTTGCCCACTGCTGTTTTTAAGTGGTGCCCGTTTTTCTCATATCACTGCAAATGAATCCCAAAGAAAGTGATTCTTTCTCCAGTTACATGGTCCTCAAAATACATATTGTAATCACAGATGATGGGTTTTGATGGCAGGTCTCAGACGGAGTGCACAATGTTGGAGAACGCATCCGAAGCACCAGAGATGGGGTTGTCAATGCAGCGAAGCACATGACGGGGAAAGCTGCCGACGCAGTCCATGAAACTAAAGACGGTGCAAGAGATGGTGCACGAGACACAGCTGGAGGTCGTACTGACACCTTGTCTCGATCTCGATCCAAACTCAACAATACAGCGTCTCCGAACGCGGAGAACAGTGACGAGCAGCCTGGGAACGGGTCATTCCCTTCCATGTGGAGGTGGGTGGGATACGCCACAGCAGCCTGGCTGGTTTCCTCCATCAAAGCCGCACATCTGTTCTCATTCTCCTCCACTTATGGAGCATCTCTCTGGGTGACCTTCGTATCTGGTTACCTGCTCTCGCGTACCATTCCCAGGCATCAGTTTGGTTTCGTGCAGAGCAAAATGTTTCCAATATACCTGCGTCTCATCGGAGTTGGCCAGGGTCTCTGCCTCGTATTATACATGGTTTTACACCCGTGGACGCACTCTAACTTCGCCGAGAAGTTACAACACTTCAATCTCTGGACCGTCATGGTGTCAACCTTGATGAACATATTCTTCTTGGAACCAAGGGCTACAAAGGTGAGATATTGCAGCAATTGTAATCCGTCCGTAAAAATATCTCTTACATTTCAATGCGTGGTGAAGCTCGTTGATTGGTAGAATTTATGACAAGGCTTGTCTTCTCTGCTGGATGTGCCAATGGGCTGAAATTCCACACATGTGATCTCCTTGAGTAGGCTGCGTTCATCAACAAAATGCACATATCTGCATGAGTTTTGCTAGAACATTGTACAAATCTGTGACTGACTTGACTCATGTTTGAATCAGATCATGTTCGAGAAGATGAAAATAGAGAAAGAGGAAGGGAGTAGGGTGGAGGAGACTGCCGAGAAGTCGAGACATTCGAACGTTTCCGTAGGAGGAACAACATCAGTAGATAACTCTACGGAGAGTCGCGTGAAAGAAGTTAACCACAATTTTAATGTGTTGCACGGCTGGTCGTCCATAGTCAATCTCCTGGGATTGCTCGGAGAAACGTGGCATCTGTGGCACATATCTCGTGGTATGTCAATCTAAGTGGACAGTGCAAAAGTTAAACCAGTCAAAATTTAGCCCTCAAGCCAGAGAGAGCCAGTTCAAATTGTAGTCAATGAGAAATAATGCAGATGTATCGATTCAACTGTCGACCGGGTTAAAGGTGCTGATAGGTAGAGCCTATGTATATACGGCTGTCAGTAACAGAGTAAAATGATTAGTTTTAGCAGTGTAAAAATGAGTGCGGAAATAGTGTTACAGGCTATTACTGATTCAGATTAGTGGGAAAGCGAACTGCGTCAGCAGATCTAAATATTGTAATTTCAGTTTAGGTTGATGACGATCGAACAATTTTTTACTCTGCCGATCATCAATCCGATGGGTAAAACCATGAAGTAAAGTCGGAATGTCAATATTTACAGTACAGATCACATTGTGGATGGCGTTGATGGTGATTCTGCTTCATAACATGTATCATGGATGGAGATATAGTGTTCGCTTAGTACGATAAGTCCCCGATACTGTCTTTCAACATGAGAATCCTCGCCTTAAGATCTTCCCTCTTCCGATTATAGGAGATGGTCAACTCCCTCAGTATGGATTTGTTAACAAGCCGTGTTTTGTCAATAATTTTGGTTTTCATATGCGTGTCAACAGCTTCACTGAATAACGTCGTCAACTTGAGGGTGATTTTATTTTGGACAAGCTTATATCTTCTCCTCAAGTAAATAGTCGAAAGAACTGGGAGACCTCCCACGTCCAGGCCCACAACAAACGCTTTCTCGTCACCCACAGTGCAGCTGATAAAGTCTCGACTCACAGCGCAAGCTTCTCGCAGTGCCTCAACCGCTGCCTTTCGATATTTTTTCAACAGATGGGGAACTGTAGAGATGTATTTCTCAAGTACGTAAAATACGAAAAGCTTCGTATAATCGTGCAACTCGTTAACCAATGTGATGACCCAATCTTGTACTTTATCCAACTCTTTGTATAGCTTTAGCAGTATCATTGGATCGACACGATTTTCCTTCATCTCAACCGCGTTCGCGTCGGGAAAATCATCCGTGGGTGGAAACACGTCCTCTTCAGGTAGAAGTTGTTTAGTGTACTTTCGGAATATGCTACTCACCCTTGTAGCAAAATGTAATACCTCGTTATCAGAGATCATCCCTATTCCACCACTCATCATGAATTGTTCCAAGTCCCTAAACACATTATTTCTTATTTTTAAAAGTTCCAAGCCCGATCTTAGATTGGTGCCTCTTCTGGCAGGAAAATCCCGGAGTTGCAATCGTCTGGCCAACTGGCGCTGTTGCATCTGCGGACGCAAGAAAAGCTTGTAAGTTTGAATCATTTCAGACCAGACAGTGTACTACCCACAAGCAGTCGCCTACCAGCGTCGTCAAATGGCCTGGCACTCGGTCAAGACGCTGAACAACGCTCTTGATTGCTACATCGTCTGTCACCGTCTGACCATAGCTGTTTTGATATCAAGCAACAACCAGTCGTCCCTCAATTCCCTGCCCTGTGCTTTTCCTTATTCTCTCCACCATCTCCCGTTTTATTTCGTCAAGCGTTCTCGTTTTTGATATGAGACTTGACGTTCCGACAGGTTTGGTTCAATACAGTCGAAGTGTGGTACCAGCTGGCGCACACTGCAAATTTGATCAAATTACTTCCGGCAAGTTCCACAATGACCAGCCATGTCCACTTGAGAATGTCACAGTCGCTTGCGATTAGAACCTGAGCAAATTAAAACGATGGACGCCTCAGAAAATTACCTGTCGAACCAAAGACCACCGCATGTCATCGATGGTCTGCAAAATGGCGATCTTATCGAGCACGTGTGACAACCCACTGTCAAAGGCCGTCGAATGCTCCTCGTCGGCAGACAGAACGGTGAGAACGAGGCTCTCTCGTTCCGGTTTGAGGAGTCGCGCTATCAAAGCGGCGACAGACCGAACGAAGGTGCCGGCCGAATCGTCCGCCATGTCCGTCGGAAGATCCACACGAATGAAGTCGATGGCATCCGGTCGCCGAACGTGGAGCACGATGGGCGAGCGATCGGCACGCTTGCGTCTGAGCGCCATGAGCTCGTCCCGAGCGCTCTCGATCTCGCTGCTGACATTCTCACGGCTTCGAATGCGCCTCGTGCGCCCATTGTGAGCTATGAGCTCGACGGCTGCCGTCGGGCAGCCGTCGAGCTTGAACACGGTGGGGATGGGGTGGACGTTGGGGGAGCGGGCGCGGATCAGTATGTCAGACACGACATTCGAATTCCGCATAGACGTTCGAGCCGCGGGGATCTCATGCTCGAGCGCGTCCCAGCTGACCTGCTTGACGATCGGCTGATCTGGCAACTGGTACTCGATCTGGAAGGTTTCCACGTCATCCGAGCACTTCTCCCATCGAAAGAACACGCCGGCGAGTTCCGCGTGGCGATCCGAGCACAGGCGCAGGAAGATTGGATCCTCGTGCAGGTCGGTCTCGATCTTGTGATGGAGGTGCTCGATCGCCGACTGGATTTCTGCAGGAAACTTGAAGAGGTCGGAGAGTTCTTTCTTCACGTCGCTGTATTCGATCTCGTACGAACTGGGCTCGTCAGCTCGTCGACAGCCTCGAACGTGCAGAGCTATTGCGAATTGCGGAGTTGCCGATCCTCTTGTTCCGCACGAGCCGGGCGCCAATCTGCTCCCGCCGAGCAGTTCCAACAATTCCACCGGGCACGTCTCTCTGCCGCTCGCGTCCGTCACCACGACGAGTAAAGGCATATGCACACCCTCTTGCTCTAGTCTTCTGCTGCGCAGACGTATGAAAATTTGTACGATTCGTTGTAATTCATCACGCTCGCTCGCAAGAACTTCGACTCGGTTGTTTCTTGGCCTGTCTGAGTCTGTGGCTCGTGCAGGTGGCAGATCGAACGCGGACGATGTACAGGATTCCATAACAGCTACGATTGAAGGGTGTTCTTGTAATTGAATTGATTGCTGTCGGACCTGATGGGAAACCTTCTATTTAATCTTCTGATATCGGCTCTCCTTTACACCCCCTTCTTCATACTCCATGGGTGCATATGAATGACATCCGCACTAGCATTCAGGCGGAATGATACATCAGTGTAAGACATTGGATTCATCTGGTTCGAAAAAGATTGTGCAAAGTACAAAGGCAACGTATTTTACTTTCGACCAATTCTTTCCACGCGATTCTCTCGTAATACAATCACATGACGAACGCAATTTTAACTCAATTTTCAGTCCGTCGCAGTCGACATCGACAATTTGTTGTGGATGCAAGGAGGGGCAAAAGCATGTCTCGTCCATCGCCTGAAGAGTAACCGTCTGGTGTCTGTTCAGTGGTGGATGTTATGTTGAAGTTCCTTCCAGAACTTCTACTCTGCCGGTCCAGTCCATGCTTTGTGTGGTGGGTGTAAAGCTGCACTCGGCGACTGGACTCCTGAAGGGAAAAGCTGGTGATATGACTTCTGCTGCAGATTGGCAGATAAGCAGTCTCCAATCATTTGGCGTTAGAATATGCAAGCACTAATCAAAGCCCATCTAGATACAAATCTCTACACTTGTCTTGTGGAGGTTGGACTTCCTCGACATCCAATCGCCTAGTACGGGTAAATTGGAGACGCATGGGATTAAAACCACATCCACTCAAGTACGAGGCACAATATATATTAACCAACACGGGGCCAAACTAAAAGGAGAGGGAATCTCTACCTTGATGAATGTATGTCTCCAACGCATGCAGATAGGTCACTTCAAACACAACCTAACATCTTTGTATATGAATTCATCGTTCTAAAATGATAATTTGTGATGTGCATGGCCTAAGTTGAGTCATACAGTTAGGACTTAACTAAGTCCTAACTGTATGACTCAACTTGGCAAGAGCAATATTGAATTTCATAATGAAACAACTGAGAATATGGTTTTAACTGAGATTGGGCTCTTAGGGATATAATACTAGTACAAATAGTGAATATAGTTTTTTGGTGACTATTTTGAGTGCCAAGAAGCAAAAGAAAATTTATTGTTTAAATTACATCTCTCATATACCCCCAAAAAAGGTAGTGAATTTCATCTTGTATAGAATAGAGTCTCCTTTCTGATCTGTCCTCCCAATGAGGCTGATTCTCACGAGGAGATATTTCATTTTGATTTGAAGCATGAATATTGTTCACGACCAAATGACTATAAATATAGAGGTATGCATAATAAAATGCAATAATCTGTTGAACAGACGTATGATACATGTTTGATTACGATTGGTATTAATTCCCCAAAATTCAGTACCGGAGAATTTAATATTTCATATTCCTTTCGTACTTTGGTTTAGGGGTTTTTGAGTTTTTTCCCCTCCTTGTTTGTATTTTTGAACTTCTTAAGTTTTTCTTATGAAAATCATCAGCATGAACTTTCTCTAATTCAAGAGCATTTAAGTTTCAATCTTCAGATTCTCACAGGCTAAAATATACCCTTGGATTTCAAACCTTTATCCACAAGTGTGGAGATATCTCTTGTTCTCTTGATAGATCACATTTTCTTTGCATCCCATATGTTGATATCTTAAACGTGAAACATTATTAGGTGTTCTTCTCCAATTCCTTTCTTACTTGAAGTTTTCATTCACTTATTCATCAATATTCACACCATGTCTGTGTGGCGTAGATTCAGTGGATTTTATAGACACGTGGTATGTCGTTCTCAGCTACGTGGAGATGAGCACGATCGAATATATATTTCTAATTTCCCGTGATATGTTATTTCATACTCTCTTCTACCTTTGTCCTCTTCGAAGGTTCCCTCATTACCGTTTTTCTGCAGTTTGTTGACATTATCAAATCACTACCTGTACGTCATGGTCTACTGCTTCAATAGTCAATCGCGAGGACGTGTTAAACGTGTGAAGTAAAAAACAAAAAAATCATTTCTCAAGTATATTTGAATATAAATTTTTCAGTTTTTTAGTATTAAGCTTCAGAATACGTAAACCTAAAATGTGGTTAACAACGATAATAACTATTGCAGCTGTAATGGTACTAAAAAAGAGTGAAATGATTGGCTTTAATTCCAAATATTTAATTTAGTTTAATAATGTTATAATCATGTTTATATTAACATACATTTACAAGTATGTTAATATAACATATATTATATTCATCATGTTTATATTAATTAAATATTGGAACATGATTATTCAAACAAAATCAATCTTTCAATATCAATAATTTCCGGTACTCTTGCTAATTATAGGCCAATTGAACTACACAATGTTAGAATTGATCATGATTCTTATCTTTTTTCATCTTTAAATTAATTTATAATTTTCGGACCTTTTATAATGCACAGAGTTTACAGTTCTTATACACCAACCGTAATCCAAATCCAAAAGTAATATATCTTTAACAATTATCAAAATAGGTAATGTTGTAAGTTTCCACATTTTATAATCAACTTAGGGTGTAGATCTGAACAAATACATCATCGTTTAAGAAGTATTACAAGATGAAGTGGTAATATAAGATGTTGATGAGATTTTCAACAAATGTCAATGATTTTCTTGATCATGAATCTTGAAATGTATTAGTGCAAGAAGCTTCGTAATGAACGAATTTGATAGTTACACACTAGTAAATTTTGAGAAATATATTATATTTTTTATACCTGTAAGAAATAATTGACACAATTTTGTACTACAACCGAAGTCTTACGCACAATGAAATAACCTGAGAAAAGACTGCCGATAATCCTGCATAATTATTACCAATATTTCTTCGCGGATCAAACGAACATCAGCACTTTCGTCATAACCTGCAATAACAGAAAATGAAATTCACATACACTTCAGCAGCAGAATATTACAATGTTGACATAGTGCCAATCATGAATTAGCAAGCTTTTATAAACGATATTGACGTGAATGATATTTCAAGACTAGTGATTAGAATATCTAAGTGCATAAAATTACTGCTTCATGAGTCCACCGAGTTATGACAGGTTGCGAATCAACTGAGATTTGGAAACCTTTTACGATCCAGTATCATACTTAACAGATCTGAGAGCAGTAACCATAATATAGGCAGTCGAGTTTTGCCCGCAGCTAAATAGCGGGCGCATATAAGAAGGCAAGTCAGGTAGCGATCACGACCCATCTGCAGTAGTTATGCACAAGTGAGAAATAACTGCAAAGCAATCTAGCCAAATCGGTTCCATTGTTATAATTCATGACTTCACGTGGACTGGCTGATAAATTTGTCAAAGAAATGTCTTGTCCTCACTTCTGAGAAACCTTCTGAGGCGGTTGTCCTCTACAGAACTTCCCCAGGTCGATCTGAGAAAACCAGAACCAACCAAATGAAAGCAATATCCAACTAAAATGTAGCGGGGACGTATCAGGCTACTCACATTAACGCGCTGGAGTACTGCCACTTGACACACGCATGGACGACTGAGGCTGATCATTGATGAACACTGGAGAGATATCTCGTCGTGCTTGTTATTGAAAATCGTTATAAGACCTGCCAAACCCGCAACGAATGTGATCACTCGGAGATTGACATTAACATTTTAAGTGGTGAAGATTTATAGAACTTTGTTCTGGTGCTTGACACTGCCACGGCTGTTGCACACTGGTTCTCTGTTCCAGTTCGGTACAGTCTTCAAGTTAGTGTATGTTTTCACTATCTGCAGCATGGCTTGTTCTGGCAACACCAGTAGCACCTCCATGATCAACAGGAGCCTTACAGGTGTGACAACTATCGCGACTAACATCCACCTGTCGACTATCACTCCAGCAACGTTTTCCTCTACCCCCTTCCTCGTTCTCTCTCACTGGCATTCTACATTCACCGCAATTCTTTATTCATGTACATCATGCACCACCATAACACCCTCAAGGCTCAAGCCTAATCGGCGCAGTTCTCTTCCCCCGACCCCATAAGTCTAGCAGCCAATACTGCCAGGTACAAATGTACCTCTCTCGAACCAAGCACGCAGGCACGATCGTTACGGTCAGGCACGAGCATGGGGGTGCACTGCACTCAAGGTCCCGTGTTTACCTCATCTGAGAGCGTAAGGACTTGAACACAGTTGTCAAGTCAGCTGCCTTTTTTTAAGATTGCTGCTTGTGAGAGTCTGCTCGATTTTTACACAAGAACAATGAAAGCAGTCAGCGCCGCCTTCCCCAAACCGTAGTCCTGTGAATTGTGCCTCTTACCTTTCGCTTGGCGCGATCCTACTCTTCGTCGCACTTTCGCTTTAGACTCGACGGTCAATTCCCGTTCAGGACTCCTGGGCCTTCTCCATTCCCATATCCTTCTCATCTCTAGCCGCCGCTGGTGTCCCGGCATCGGCATTAAACCGAAACCTTGAAGTTCCCAGATGTTCTCAGTATCACCATCAATCCATCCTTCTCGATCAACCAATCCATCAATCAATCTCTGCCTGATTCAAGAACCGAGAGAGAGGAGTAAACGCTCTACCGCGGGGACAGAGAGTTTTCGCATATACAGCAGTACTGTTTTCTCAAGTCAACTTCTTCTGCTTCCCTCTTGAAGATTCCCAGTTCTGAAATAATATCAATTTGGTCTGGAGAAAGCCCCACTGATTTAGCAATATGTCGAGAAAGTCACTGGAAAAATTTGATCTGTCTTATACTTTTGTAGGTCCTTCTCCAAAAATTCATGATGCAATTATGATCTGCTGAAGCTTCAAATTCCAGATTCATCATCATCTCCTTTTGTCTATAAGAATGTGGTCATATCCACATGAACTTTAGAACCAGCAGCAAGTAACAACTATTCACCTTTTTTCCAGGTGGCCTTCTGAGCACATTTCAGAAAGTTGTTTATCAAGAGCTGAAACCTTGACTTCCCTTCCTAGCTTTTGAGCACCTTTTATGCCTTTAGCAGATTCACTTTCACATTCAGAAGGGCAGTCCTGATTGCAGGAGTCTCTTGAAATCTCCCTTTTCAGCTGCTACATGCAGTGCCACAATGACTGCGCTCAGCAATCTCATTCACAGAGATGTGAGCAAACTTCCACTTTTTCCTTTCCGCCATAGGTATCTACGATAAAGATTGCACCCATTCGAAGCCTCCAGATATACGGTTATGGATCTCATTTTCAATATCAATCCATCTCGTCCAACCAAACCATGGAACAACACTGGCTAGACTCATTGTGCTTCGTCCCACGGAAGTCTTATATATTTGGGACATGGGGCCTACGTGTGTAGGCCCCACAAACACATTTTCAGCTTTTTTGGTACAGAACTAGGTTATTTCTTTCTGCTCTCTTATGCAAGATGGGTATATGCACGCATGGTTATATTAGTCTGTCACCTAAATATTATTAATTTAGTCTAAAATAAATTTAGGTAATTTATGCGCTTTGTGCTAAAAAGCTCGTTGAGTGCACTTGAAATCATGGTCATTAGACCTAAAGCACAAGCAACAGTATGACCGGGTGATGTAATTATTAAGTGGGATAAAGCTTGAAACTCTATCAATTTTGCCTCGCCACTATGGATTTTTTTTTCATATTAAGTGCTAAAAATTCTAGAGGAAACATTTGAAACTAAATGAATTTTAAGTATGGCATTTATCTTGAATGTTGGAGGAAGAGAGTATTGATGATCAGAGAAGTCCTGAGGTAAGATAAAAATGATTTTTCTTTAGAAAGGTAATAAATGAAGACAACTTAGTGATAACGTTTCAATTCTCAGACTTCACAAAAAAGTTTGTATATTTTCTAGAACGATACTTGTGAAGTTGTATTTTGTCTAAGAGAGCTTCATCAACAAACTAGAGCAAGAAAGAATAAATTCATGTACTTGATAGCCAATTGTGTTGAATCTGATCAAATAATTTACCAATAATTTCAAAATGTTTTTAAAATTACAATTTTTATCGATAGCTTCGATTTGACATGTAGTCCATCAAGATCAAATCACATCAATATAAAAATTTATTCCAGATGTTCCAGGCATTGAAATGTTTTACGGAAAAATTTCTGAATGTATAATCTCAATTTACTATAATGAATTACAAATGGATAATTAAAAATCTAATTTGAAGTGTAATGCTTAGCAAGAAGCTCACATCTTTGTGACTATGGATAAATATATATACATAATTTTGAAAGATTGAGATTGAGTAGATATACCAAATTATATATTTTTAGACTTTGTGATTTATTGCTCTTAACAAACATAAATCAGTTATTTACACAGAATAAAAATATTCATACTCTAATCTATTTAATTATTTTTAGTCATTATATTTATTGTATCAAAAATAGTTTAAAAAATATATATTTTAAACTATGCCAAATGTGTTAGCTATAATCCAAGTCGATAGACAAATCTATCGTTGATGACGTTGGGTTTATGCATTTCGACATGAAGTTCAGGGTTTCGGCTTTCCTATTGCACTACTTGATGCGGTCAGTCTACTCCTCACCCTAAACATATTACTCTTGTGTTCCTGTGGATGTATCCAGAAGGGCAAACCACTAGTATTGTCTATGTCGTTGGTCTTCACTCTTGTGTTTCCTGTCCAATTTTTTCCACAAAAATGATGCAACGTTGGATGTTTGTGTTGCTTGTAGATGATTTACACTTGAGAGATAATACACTTTTCTGTATGTTTGATGTATTTATGATATGATAAATTCTAGTAATTCATATTCATTTTTTATATTTGAAAAAATATATTTAATTAGTTATTCTTATCAAGTGGAGCTTTTAAAAAAATGATCATTTTTAAGCAATTATTAGATTTTTATATCCTTATTATTTGAATGAAGTATGTATGATAAAATATGATTAATTTTACATATAAAAAATACTATATATAATATTAATTATTATTTGATTTGAATTTCAAATCCAATTTTACAAGTAAGTATATATATATATAACACGTTTGTAATGGATATGTTACAAAATACATAAATTTTACTCTTAATTGATAATAGTAAACTCACAGAAAATATTTTTAAATTAATCAAGAAAAGAGATGTATCTTTGATTGTACAATATTTTTCATTCTAGAAACAACATAATGATATATAATCACGTTTTATATAATCAGATATTTTGAACTTGAAAATGTATATTGATTATTTGGCTGGACGATTCTCTATCTGAATATTTTACACAAGATTTGCATTGGAATATGTAATTTATTTCTTATTCAAGTTGATATAATAATTTATTACTATATACTTTGATTATTTTGATTTTGATGTATATATAAATGTAAATATGAATCTGAATTTTAAATATGGTATGATTAATTAACTCAAATGATTTCAAAATTCTCTTTGAGTAAGATCTCAAACAAATTTAATTTTTTGTATTTCCTAGTATCTATAATTCTGAAATATTTATTAAACACTTAAATAACTATATCAGTGACTTATGAATGATGAAACTTTTAACACAATTAATCTGTGAGGTAAGAATTCCACAATATTAGTTGTCATTTAACGTTGATTTAATATCTTATTGTGTTTATCAAAATGCTAAAATATGAAATTGAAGTCATTAAACATTGAAAACACAATGACTTCAAACACAATTAATATCAATATATTTCTCTGCATATTTTCAATTAAAATTTATAAATTAAAAAATAAATTTCCTCATATATAATTTTTAAGAATATGTATATATATATATATATATATATATATATATAAATGTTTGATGTATAGTTTTTACATATGCATCACAAATATTACAAGACTACAAATAAATTGAATGTTGTGATTTTATAATGAACAGTTTTATTATATACAAATTACTTAGAGTTAATGATTGTACATTGTACATGCATATTTATTGTATCATATAATAAAATGAAAAATCTTTAAAAAAATATTAAAATTTATTTGATAACAAACTTGCTTAAATTTTTATTTAATATTTAATTTGATATATGAGGAAAAAAAATTTATAGTGTATATATACACATACTTTACACTTATGAAGTTCACAAATAATGATATTTCACTTTTGACATATGTACATTATTATTATACATAAAATTTAAAGCAAAGAAATTTCTTATATAAGTAAATTAAATTATTGATATTTTATTTGAAGTATTTCATATGGTTTGGCATGAGATTTATTTTTGTAAAAAGATTTCATTCTATATATAAAATCTTACCATCAATATTAATAAACTGATTGAATTTTTAAAAATATTTTTTTAATCTTTAAATGATGTTTTATTTTCATTGCAATATAAACTAAAAAAAATCAATGTTCAAATTTATCTACAGTAAAATTGTAAAAGACTTTCCACAAAATTTCCACAATTCATTAACTTATTTAAAATTTTCAGTCTTAAAATTTGAATTATATATTATGCTCATACTGTTTAACTTGCGATATCTGCATGGATTCTTATAAAAAAATGAATTCAAATGAGTTAGCTTTAACGATGTCACATCTATTAATGAAAACAATGATTGAATATATTACTACATGCATTTATAATGATAAGTTATTTAAATCAACTTTTACATGATCTAAATTGTGTTTGAAATCATTGTGTTTTCATGTTTAATAATTTCAATTTCATATTTTAGCATTTTGATGTGAAGTAAATTGTAAATAAGTTAACAAAAATTTGAAAATACAATTTGCTTTAAATATTCATTATTTTGGATATCGCAATATTTTAAATTAAATTATATCAATTTTACTATTACATAATTTATATCTAATTTAAAATATAAAATCCTATGAATAATGATTTGATAGTATTATACAAGAATAAATTCTTTATTTTGTTATAAAATAAATCTGAAATGTATCTATGAATCTTTTTGAACTTGAAATTTTAATTTAATTGCAATTTGAAATTTTTTAGATTTCATATTGAAAATTATTTTTTAATAATAAATTATTAATAAAAAAATTTGGTGTCGAAATATTATCATATTAATTATTTTAGTTTTTTATTTTATTTATCCAGTTTTTTCATCTTAACATGTTTACAAAACTTATTGATCATAATTCAAATAATGATGAAACAATTAAGTTTAAAATCTTTAAATTATGCATGAAAAAACAAGACATAAATTCTAATTCTCATTAATATTTATTATTTCTGTAATAAATTTTAAAGTTATCACACATAATTTAATTTCACATCAAACTATTTTTCAAAAAATGTAATATACAGATATTACAGTTTTTTATCTTTTTAAAACAAAAGTCTATGTAAATTTTTTCATCAACTTGAACACAATTATTTCATAAAGTTGCAATTCAACTTATTTAGAAGTCATTGCACTTGTATTTTGTATAAAATAATTATAATCACTACTCAAAGTTATTCAATTTTGATATCAATTCACTTAAATCAACATCAATGAATTTATGAATTATAGCAACAAATTGAGTAAACAATTCATTGATATTAACACAAGATACAAGATTACGATAAGTCTATGTGACCTTAAAACAAACAAAAGCAAAACAAGGAAGAAAACTACAAGGTAATAGATGAGGAATTGAGTAAAGTTGTTGTGAGAGATGCAAAGTTAAATAAGAAACAAAAATCCAAGAATGTCATGAAAACTACCAAAAACCAAACTAACTATAGAGTTCACCGATTTACTTGTTTATCTTTCTGGATGAATTCAAAAAGTTGTTTAGGGAAAATCATTCACAAGATATCGAATTTGTTGGCAAAATAAGATGAGAGAAATAAATAGAAAATAAATTGGAGTATGCTACATACATTGATAAGGCTCAACACAAACTAAGTACATACTAAAAAACCACATTATATGCATGACGTTGTTGTTGTTGCATATGATATGGCGTTGATGTTTTCTCTGTAAACTAGAACTAATTAGCCTCTGAAGGTTCAGAGTTGTAGGTCAGATGTTGTTGTTGTTGCATATGATGTGTTTGGCATACTTTCTATAAACTCAACTTGATTAGACTTTGAAGTATACCTTATATATGCATGATCTTTTTGTTGTTGTTGCATATGATATGACGTTGGTGCTATAAACACAAAAAAACCATAGCCAAAAAAGCAACACAATTCAAGAAGGTCGTGAGAGTTGTCAAAAATCAAATTAATTGAAGAGATCACCAAATGAATTTTTCATCTGTTTTGATGATTTCAAGAAGTTGTTCAAAGAAGATCATTTTGAGACCAAGATTATCGCTGTGGTTAGCCAAATCACAAAAGACAAATGAAAATACATGTCTGAATTCAAGAAGTCTTTCTACATATATCAAGCTTAAAAGATGAATCAAGACTACAATAAGTCTATGTCAGCTTACGAAAAACTAAATCAAGATGATGAAGAGTACGACAATTGATACCTAAAAAAACGAATTCGGTTGTTGTGAAAAAAGAAAAATCGTAAAAGCAACAAAAAGTCTAAGAATATTACAAAAGTTATCAAGAATCAAAGCAACGAAAGAAGTTACCAACGAACTTCTTCATCTTTCTTGATGAGTTTAAGAAGTTAATTAAGGAAGATCATTCCGAGATGAACAGTGTTGTTGTAGTTGGCAAAGCTGGAGAAAAAAAATGTAAAACTTCATACATAGACAAGAATTAACAGAAGATGCAAGAGTTCGATAAGTTTATGTTAGCTTATAACAAGCAAAAGCAAGGCAATGAAAAGTAAGTGGAGGAAACATATCAGAAATCTAGTAAGATTGTTGTGAAAGACGCAAAGCCAAAGAAGCAACGGAAGTTCAAGAAGGTGAGGATAGTTGCAAAGAATGAAATCAATCAAAGATTTCATTACTCATTTTTCACTTTTTTTATAAATTCAAAAAAACGTCTAAAGAATATCATTCCAAGGCGAAGTGTGTCACCGTGGTTGGCAAAGTCGGAGATGAGAAATGAAAATACATGTTTGAAATACAAACGCTTCTAACATAAGCAAGGTTCAAGTAAAAAATCAAGAGTACAATAAAACTATGTCAGCTTACAACAAGCAAAAGAATAACGATGAAAAATATGATATCCACACATTGAAATACATTTTAAACAATTTTAAAATCTAAAATTTTAAAATTGAATTTAAATTGATTTTTTTTTCAAAATTTTGGTTTATAATGAGATTTTACACTTATTAACAGTATCCAGAACAACCTGTCAAAACCGACCCCGAAGGCGAGGCGCGGGGTGAGTTCATCTCGTAGCGAGTGCTACAAGCAACTGGACTATGACGAGGGTTATTGCGGTGGCCTCAGCGCTAAATCCCCCGCAGAGTCGTGAGACTTGTGGAAATCTTGGTGGGATGCTTTAATGAATCCAACATCTAAAAAAAATTATTTCACAACAACATATTCATATACAATGATTGTTTTTTACAATTATAAACAAGGATTTTGAAAATGAATTTTCATTTGAATAAATTTATCTATGTTATGTGACTGATAGTTTATTTATATAATTGAATTAATTTAATTCAATAAATACTTCACATCACAAATATCAATAGAATGAAATGAATGTTATTCAAATAAATAATTATGTGACTTTGGCGGTTTATTATATTTCATTTTCTTGTTAGATCATGAGACAACAAAAAACCATGTTAATTGATATCTATTTTAGACACAAAAATTGACTAAAAAATGTAGCAAATTTAAAACATAAAACAAATATACAATTTTTAATGTATTTATAAATATAAAAACCATGGAATATATTCACATCTCTTATCGAAATCAAAATACTCATAGATTAAATAATCAATTTTTAATAAAAGAAAAGAAGTATTAAATAAAAAGTATTAATTTTTAATTAAAAAATTAAAAATATTCAATCATTTATATTAAATAACTGGAGAAAAGTGTATATATTTTATTTGATTAGGAAAGATTTTGCAATCAAATTGATTTTTGAAAATACTTTCTAAAAAATGAGCTACATTTACATTTTGACCAACAAGACGTTATAAGTGACATATCATGAGTATAGTATTGAGCATCACTTCCTAGAAGCCATAACTGTCTTTTGGATGATTAAAGAAGGTAGGAGAGAAAATAGGAGATACTCTATTGTATTTTGAGTCGATAGGTCTTACATTGGAAAGCTAGTATTTGGACATACTATTCGTATACTCGACTTTTCCTAATATAATTCATTGTTTACAAAGAATTTTCTTTGGGAATTTGCAATCTATGTCAAGAAGAGTTCATAACATGGTATTTGAATGTTGTTTATTTGGTAAGTTTAGTTCTAGACAATGCAAAAGGGTTCTCCGAAACCTAAATTCACAACTCCATGCTCATTCATTTACTTGGAAGAAAAGAGCAGTTTGAATGAATATTGTAACATTCAGCGATAAAAAATGCTGTCAAGTACAAACTTAAAAGCATACAGCATACCAAATTCGTTGTTCATGTATTATCTTCTGGCCCTAAGAAAGATAAAGCTCAAACGATAGTTTAAGCTTATTCAATTGCATCTGTACATATTTATGGGGTAGCGAGGAACCGAGGAACACCATGGAGAAATGGATATTTCGTCGCGATCTGGCACACTGTACAACAATATGCCGTGATGATTTATCGCGGACCGGAAGCCAACGAGGGATGCGCATCGTGTGCGAGCTTTTGACCTCCTCCCGGAGCCGGCTTTGGCGACACAAATTGGCAGAGAAACGATCGCATAGGAAGCCAGATCGTAAAGAGCCACAGGGAGCGTTGTGCTTGTGGGCAGTTCGGTTCCCGTCTCAGCTAACATTAGATCGCGTGTAAAATGTCGAGAAACCTGGTTCCTGTAACGAAGAACATTGCCGAACACGAGACCAAGAAGCGACCACGTGGCCGGCGGCCACCGTGGTTGGAGTCCGAGTTTAAGTACTGTTAGGAATGCTTCGTGGTGGTGCGCGAGGAGTCGACTTCAGCTCAGAGTTGCACTAGGTCCTGTGGTCAGAACTGGGCGAGTACACAGTGAGAAGCGAGTTCTATAGAGGTGACCCGACCTCGGTTAGCAGGAAGGGAGGGAGGAAGGAAGGAAGGAAGCGAGGGAGGGGAAGCGAAGGGAAGGGAAGGAAGAAGAAAGCAAGCAAGCAGGCAGACAGGCGAGGGGAGAGAGGGGAGGAGCACGAGAGGAGAAGGAGAAACGATGTCTTTTGTTGTTGTTGCGGGTAAGGGGAGGGGGAGGGGGGCAGAGAGAGGGGAGCTCTCGACGCCATAGCCAGAGAATCGGAGAAGCGGTCAATAGAAGGGAAGTGTAGAGGAGTAGGAAGGCAGAGTAGTGGAAGATGGCGACGCAGGCTGTCGTTGCGCATAATTTGTATGAGGCAGCGACGCAAGCGCACGAAGACGCCTACACGTTTTTGGAGTTTAACACACAGGGAGATGATTTTGATTACCCGGAGTTTACAGAGCTGAGCCAACCTGCAAGGCCGTCCGTGTGGACCGATGGGTCGGTGCTTTCGGTTGCAGGGGAGAACTCAGACCTGGTGGGAGGGCAAAGTGAGCTCATAAAGTCTGTAGGAGATGTGGTCGTGGAATCGAAGCCGAGTAGTCAGACCACTGTCGGAGCATTAGCTTCAGGAATAGGCGAGTTGAGTTTTGATGATCCGGGGGACGATGACATACACGACTTTTCGAAGAGAGATCTTCCTGAACATGCGTGTAAATATTGCGGGATTCACAATCCAGCGTGCATAGTTCGGTGCAACGTTCCCTCATGCAGAAAGTGGTTTTGCAATTCGCGTGGAAATACATCGGGCTCACATATTGTTAACCATTTGGTAGGCCCCGAAGTTCTCCAACATTTTTGTTTGACCCGCAGTTTTCTCCTCGCCTTTTTGCGGTCTTAGGCTTCTATGGTTGAGGTTGTTATTGTTTTAGGGTTTTAGGTTTTTCTGGGTGCCAGTTTAGGGATTATTTTTCCCTTTTCTTGGTTTCTTTGTCTGCCGTATAGCATTCTAAAATATGGCTGTTTGCAATCCGTAACCCTACCGAGAGCTTTGAACAAGTTACCCCAATTTCGTTTCTCCTTATTGTGCCATTTCACCTATCGGTTAGCTGGTGGTAGTTGACTCTGTTTGAAGTTTCCAGGAGTGCTCCCTGTTGTTATGGTACACACAGCAGAAGCTTCTTCGTCGTAGCTTTTGGATTTGCTTGTCACACGTTTATGTGTGACAGGCAAGAGTAAGCGGGTTGGTTCCGACATCGTGTAGCATGTCGATTTGCCGACGTTATTGTTTCCCGCGAGGTTGTGGATGTAATGAAGTCCTCTTATTGTTATATGGGTTGCGATTTGTAGTGGAGCCCTTAGTGGCCTTTCGCTGCACATGGTCGGGTCATAATTGTTGTGCTAAATTTCACTTAATCTTTCGGCACCCCGGAGTTGGGCGAGAATGGGTTTCACCTGGCTCTTATTCTGAAGTTCTTGGGTCACAAGATGTTTTTCCTGAATCCTTCGTCGTCTGGCATGTGGGAGGGCACTTTGTCTTCAACACTATAAGTCAAATTTTCTGCAAGCCCGTGAAGAACACACTGAGCTTCACTAATCTGATATTTACTGATAATGAATGATAATGCGCAGGTCCGTGCCAAACACAAGGAGGTGTGCCTTCATAAAGATAGCCCACTCGGAGAAACAATTCTAGAGTGCTACAATTGCGGATGTCGAAACGTCTTCTTGTTAGGGTTTATACCGGCCAAGTCAGAGAGCGTTGTGGTGTTACTCTGTCGGGAGCCGTGCTTGAGCGTAAACGGGTTGAAGGATATGAATTGGGATCTTAGTTCCTGGTTACCCCTTATTGATGATCGATGCTTTCTCGAATGGCTGGTCAAGGTAAGCCAGGATATTTTCTCACCTAATTAGAACTAGATTTCGAGGCTAATTTCTTGACCTGGTTCCCGTGTAGAAGTCAAACTGGTCCAAAAAGTCTGATTTTAACCGCGGAGCACTTAGTCGCAACTGTCAACGGTTTTAATTTTTTCCCTTCCCTTTCAGTGTGTTTCGGTTGAAACACTATATTGTAAAAATGAGGATAATTATGGCAAGGCGATTGCACGGGTTAGGTTAGGTCTGTGACATATTCTGGGTGATTGGGTGGAGCTTCTTCTGAAAGTACCTCCTTCTCAATTCCATTGGAGGCCTTGTAAGCAAGGATCGGCGGATGCATGTCCAATTTGCAAGTTGCAGAAACCAGCTGGAATGGAAAATACTTTTGTCAAGTGGAGATTCAAAATAACAGTTCGAAGACGAACGTTTGATAAAGAGATTAAGTTGTCACTTGTGACACTGTCGACTTGGAACAGGTTCCGTCAGAACAGGAACAACTTAGGGCTCGACAAATAAGCGCTCAGCAAATTAATAAGGTAGAGGAGCTCTGGAAGACTAGCCCTGAAGCCACATTGGAAGACTTGGAGAAGCCCGGTGTAGATGATGAACCACTTCCTGTTGCTCTAAAGTACGAAGACGCATACCAGGTAATCCAAGGAAATTCCTACAGCCTGAATTTTTGGAGTGCCTGAGACTTTTTTTTGGGACCTTGAGATAACATTGCTTAGTTTCCATTTTTCTCGAACAAAAAGTGGATCATAGAACACATGAAAAGAAAGCAGCAATATCAAAGCATGCTCATGGTCGCAAATTATGAGAATTTTGACACTTCTAACTGTTAAGGTTTTGTAGGTTTACTAGATTGTCAGACCCAAGTTAGTGTTAGGTTTGGCCGCCTCAGATATTTGCTTTAACCACTTCTGAAATGTGCTTGCTGATTTCCTGATCATTGAATTGCAGTACCAAAACATTTTTGGACCTTTAGTTAAGCTGGAAGCTGATTATGACAAGGTGGGTACCCTGGACACAAATTACACATTGTCACGGCGTAAATTTTTTGATCGTGGGTAGATTGTACTCAGGAAAGTCGTAAATTCGTGAACAGATTAGAATCTCTTTTTGAAAGTACTGAGCTGTGTCCCTACAATATATCTTTGAAGCGTAGACCTTCCTTTTGCTAGATTAGAATCTCTTTTTGAAAGTACCTGAGCTGTGTCCCTACAATATATCTTTGAAGCGTAGATACTTTCGCTTTTGTAATGTATGATACTTATGTCGCATCCGTTAAACCTTTCGATTCAATTCTCGCTTACACTTAGGGGCTTGCAGACATTCTTCAAGCAGTAACACTTAAAACATTCACCTACCTGTTTGTTGTGACTTCCTGGACACGAATGAGAAGTCTCGACAGGTAATGAAGATTTGAAAAGTTTCTGTGTTCTGGAGCCTCATCCTATTCTTCGTCTTCTTTCCGCTTGTAGATGATGAAAGAATCACAAAGCAAGGATAATATCACTGTTCGCTGGGACATTGGTCTAAACAAGAAACGCGTCGCCTACTTTGTTTTCCCAAAGGTTTGTACTCATCCCTTGAATTATTTGTGCATTCTTACATTGTCCTATGTCTTGTACGTAGCAGAGCACTCGAATGCATGAGAAGAGGGTTTCTAAATAAAAGTTATTTTCAACTCGTCCTCTATATCCCTAGATTGCATTGTAGGAAATTCTCGAAGAGGGTGGCCATGGCTCGTGCAGACACTGGACATTGTAATTGCTGTTAAGACTCTTCGACTTCTATCTCTTTCGTAGAAGTCACGTGTTTCTTCGGTTTTCAGTCCAATTGATATATGTCCTCATTAGTTGGGATGATTTGCGTCACGTACAGGAAGACAATGAACTACGCCTAGTACCCGGTGATGAACTACGGTTACGTTACCCGGGAGATTCCACACATTCTGCCTGGCAGTCAGTCGGCCATGTGGTATAAATTCTTGTCTTTCTTCGTTTTGTATGTTTCGCTTTAATGCTTGGAGGCCAAGTTGTTTCGCATCACTACGTATGTGGATCAGAATGTCAGGGCAGTTTTTGACGATTATATCTCTTGCAGATCAAATTAACCGCTCAAGAGGAGGTTGCCCTCGAGCTTCGTGCCAGCCAGGTAGAAGCACTCTTTCGTTGTTGAGCTAAGTTGCGGTTTACATATACTATGTTGTCTGCTTTCGACTGAGATATCGACGTGTGGTCTTTCATTTTTATTCAAAAGGTTCACTCTTTCTCGTTGAAGTTGTGTCTTCTTATCGCTAGGTCTGTATGTTCGTCGTTTTCGCGTTGGAGTCGACGTACACTGAACAGTGTAGCTAATAAAGTGTCATTCACCTACCTTTTGTTCACAGCCAGAATGATCAAAACTCAACTCGAGCATTTAGTTTTGTGCGGGTTAGAATTATTTTATCTTTGATGTGCACCTTGGGTTGCAGAATAACTCGTCCTGTTTGTAGCTGGTCTTCTGGCACCTTGAATTTTGGGAAGATATCTTACTCAACAGTGTCCTCTACATGGTAGAAGCCGTCACGACGACTCGTTGCTCCCTTAGCTTTGGTTTTCTCGGGTCCCCTGATTTCTGGATTAATTACTGTGAATACAAGGGAGTCTGAAACCAATGTTTCAGAACCAGCAGTCACAGTCATTTCTTCCCTGGCGTCGTCATCTATCTGCAAGTGTGATAGTTCACCGTCTTCAGATCCACTCATTTTCACGGTGTTCATTACCTTTCATGGCAATGAAAGTAACTGTTGTCTCTTTCCTCTTGAGACTCTACGTAGTTTCTTCAGTTTTAGTGCATGAATAATATGTAGAAACAGTATCACAATGACCACCATTTGGACAGTTCATAAAATTTCATGCTACAAGTTCTCAGCTCATACGTTAGGTACGATTCTGGCTAGCTTAGAATTGAGCTCCAGTTGAGCCGCTTCCTCATTCTCCTCTTGTGGACTAAGCAGCCTTACGCCAAAAATGCACATCTCGATGATAAATCATCTATCTTAAGTTTCGTAATTGTCACTGTCTTGCATTTTTTCAGTATTTTAAGATGCCTAACTGAAGTGGAATGATTAGGTTCAATTTTGGACTCTATCTGCTTTCTTTTAGTATAGAATGTCTGTCGCATTACACAGACCCCCACTTTGTTATGTCTCGATCGGGATCATTCGCTTACTTATAATTGATGACAATATCAAAAAGACTTACTTTGTTGTTATCTACGCTGTATTTTCACCTGACCTAGTTTGTAGGTGGAGCTGATTATTGAGATTGATTCGTTGTATGGAGCGTCTGTTCATGTTAAACTTGAAGTACTAATTTTTTAAAAAAAATCTCCAGGGTGTGCCTATTGACGTGAATCACAACTTCAGCGTGGACTTCGTATGGAAGAGTACTAGTTTCGACCGGATGCAGGCTGCGATGAAGACATTTGCTGTTGACGAGACCAGTGTCAGTGGGTGCGTGATCTGATCTTCTATGCACAGAACCTGAAAGAGTTTGTTAACGTTCTTGGTTTGCTACACTTTTCGCCGAAGGAAATATCTGTAGCGTTTGACATTAATACAAGATTAAGGCATGACCGTCGTTACTCTTGAGTCACGAGTACTTAGTGCCATGTTCGGAATATATAGTTGCCCCAGGTTCTCTCCCGATGGCATTTCGTTAGGCCCTGCCTCTGATTCTGCTGTTGCATTTATCTGATGCAAACTGCAGTCCTACCTGCTTTTCATAACCAGAAATCGGAACACCGATGACACCACCGAGTTGTGAAGTTGCAAAGTGATGCTTGTCATTCACATGCCGTGATGTTCAGATATGACAGCTTGAAATTCGCATGTTTATATATCGTTTTGTTTTCGTTATTTCCTTTCCATCTCATGCATGTCTGATTGCTCATATGAAAGTCGATACAGAAACGCTAGGTGCTGCATTTGATAACTGCGGATATTTCAGATGTTTAGATCTCTTGTACATCTTCTATGTGGCCAGCCTTTCCTTCGTTCTCCATCAAATTTACCGTTTGTTTTCCTGCATGATAAGGTCTTTCGGTTGATCTTGAATCAATTTATCATTCACATCATTTAACTCATTTACGCCAAGGAATTGCTTGCTGATTAGACGCCTGAGTCTGATCCTAGATTCTGTCATCATATAAGTAGACTTGTACGAGAGTTAAGTTTTGCATGTGTGAGGAATATGTCTTTATCACCAATCATCATATGTATTCTCGCATTACATTCTCTTTAGTTTTTCTCACAGTGTTACAAGTAAACATATCCAAACGCCAGGTTTCGTTTTCCATTACGTTAAATATTTTTACGAAGATGTAAATATCTGGAAACCTTACCCATAGCAACCAGTCAAAAGTTCCCTGTTTTGTTTCACTCAATTGCAATATATATACATCTCCCCATAAGGAATGTATCTGTTTTATAGGTATATATACCATCGCCTCTTGGGACACGAAGTAGAGCTACAAACAGTTCGCAATACTCTACCTCGCCGATTCGGAGCTCCTGGACTACCTGAATTGAATGCTTCTCAGGTGCGAAGATTGGTGATTGATTCTTGTGAACTTGTAGCAAGGTTCAAATCTTAGTTGTATAATTTCTACTTGCTCTTTGCATTTTTATCTCGAAATGTACATCTTTGCCCTTAGAATTTCACAATGTTTTCTCTTTCATTCATACATCAGGGACTATCATGGTTGCGTTGCTATGGATTATAAGTCAGGTTCTTTTTATTTTATATGGGAACAACGACTAACACATGGGCGTTTTAAGTACAGTTCTTTGTTGATATTTAACAAGGAAATATTCGGATGATGAATTTGGCAAGTTACATCATGCTACCATACTGGTTCGCATCATTATCAGTCTTATCGATCTTTGTTAAGAATATCACGCTCTTCTGAGCAAAAGCTCGTTAATCTTTTGACCTCACTCTCTCGTATCTCCGTTTGTTTATGAATAATAATAAAAACAGGTCTACGCCGTGAAGAGTGTCCTTCAAAAGCCAGTGAGTTTGATCCAGGGTCCTCCAGGGACAGGAAAGACCGTTACGTCTGCGGCGATTGTCTACCATCTTGCGAAGCAGGGGCAGGGCCAGGTAATTCGGTTACTGAGTTTTCTTGTCTTTTGTCAAATCATTTGACTCTTCACTTTTTATCGTTTAGGATTTGGAGACGGATATTTGTAATTATTCCATTTTATTGTATGTGATATGATTGTCATACAGAAATGATGTATCAACTGTTCTTTTCCTTAGCTTTGCACGTCACTTACACAGCTACTCCTAGCTTCTTGAGTCTCAAATAAGTGTTGAAATGCTTTTTTCAAGTAAAGTAGAGGTGGTACGTTTACCACTATTAATATGGACCTGCGCTTTCGTTTCATTCGCTGTCCTGGGCAAGACGTCATCTAGAGTCTAATACACCATTCTTGGTTTTAGGTTTTGGTATGTGCCCCTAGTAATGTGGCAGTGGATCAACTTGCTGAGAAAATCAGTGCCACGGGCTTGAAGGTATATCCTAGTTTTTTCATTCCAAGCATGTGTTACGCGTCTCGCATTTTTCCGACTGCAGACATTTCACCACTTGAAGGAAATTCGAAGACCTACTTTGAATAACCATTGACGCTCGGTGTATCCAGGTTGTCAGATTATGTGCTAAATCGAGGGAAGCTGTTAGCTCCCCGGTCGAGCACCTAACTTTGCACTACCAGGTATTGTACATGATGCTCATTTTCCGATTCAGATCGTGTCGTATGTGATGGTTTCTTGGTAAGGACTAATTTTGTGATTGAATATCACTCTAGTATTGAACCGATGTATATCTGTCTACTTATGTTGTGGTGGGTTAAAGGCTTAGGTGCAGTTTCCTTAGTTCTTTAATGGCCAAAATTTGCACGATTATCCTAGTTGCATTAACTGCAGCCGAGACACGTATGCCTGACTCTGACCTACTCTTATCTATGTTTGTTTCTTGGGACGATGTTCCTTAGGTGAGGCATCTGGACACCTCTGACAAGAGTGAGCTTCACAAGCTTCAACTTCTCAAGGATGAACAAGGTAAAAGGTTTTGTGTATACTGAGATTCTTCTCTCTCGGACACTGAAATAGAAAAGAGCATGAGAAGAGTTATGGACCATGAATGTCACAGTGAAGATTTTGTAGATATTGACGGAGCATATTTTCAGATGACTTGAGAAACACGTTGTATTCTGGATGTTGGAATCCTTTAGGGAATTGCGTGAAACATAGAGGTCGATGCGCCATGGATTATACGTGAATCGCCTGAACTTGCGTATAGTATGTATGCCGTTAAATGTACTGAGTAATGTTAGTGTTTTTAAATGGAGGTTGGAACCGGTTTTGTACTTTCTTGACCAGGTGAACTTTCAAGCGCCGATGAGAAGAAATACAAGGCATTGAAGCGAGCCACAGAGCGAGAAATTGCTCAAAGTGCAGATGTAATATGTTGCACTTGTGTTGGTGCTGGTGATCCCCGATTATCCAACTTTCGGTTTCGTCAGGTATTACTGAAGAAGAGTTATGATTTGGCCAAAGCTGAGGATCAGATTGTTCTACTTTATCGTTTATAAAAAACTTCTCGTTCGATGTATCAGCATCCACCGGAATGTATGTAGCATGATGAGCTGTAGTGGTATCATAATATAGGAGGATATGATCTGATCTACAACTGTGCTTATCTCTTCCGTAGGTGTTGATCGATGAGTCAACCCAAGCGACAGAACCCGAATGTTCAATTCCTCTAGTACTTGGATGCAAGCAGGTATTTTCTGGTCTCCATCAATATTTCTGTTCCATATACGTTCAAACGCCAGTATTCAATGTCCAAAGCCACCGCCACAACAGCAGTATGTAGTTGGGCCATAAAAGGAAAGGCAAAATGAATGATCTGGTCAAGTGCTTTTTTGCCTCCATATCGCCCCCATGAACTCGGCATCCACATCATCAAAATATTGAAGTCATACAATTTTTCCGTTTCATTGTCCTAAAATGCATTCCTCGTGAATATCTTCCTCTTCCGTCACTCCCACTGTCCTGGCACGTCGTGAGGTATATGATCGTTGTCATTATTTATTTGTGTGTTGGCTGCTGCTGAGTTATATGAGACTTTCGATTTGTGTGGGTTGTTTGAGTAATTAAGTTTCATGTCTATCGTCTATTGTTGCTGGATGATTGATTGCGAAGTATTCTTGACTTGTGCACGGCTCAGGTGGTGCTGGTAGGAGATCACTGCCAACTTGGCCCGGTGATCATGTGTAAGAAAGCAGCTCGCGCTGGTCTCTCTCAGTCTCTTTTTGAGCGTCTTGTTCTGCTCGGAGTTAAGCCCATTCGATTGCAGGTACTATACTGTACTCTCCTATTGTTTTAAACTCTTACATTTATGTCATCTTTTCTCACTTCTAGATAGTGTTTCCTGCAACCTTCATTCGGCACCCTGGTCATCGTCTACTGGATCGGACCAAAGACCGTTCTCATCGCTTTCATCATTGATGGTCTCCATGCCCAGTATGTTGGTCTCTCCCTAAGGTTGACTCATGGATGATTGTAGGTGCAATATCGCATGCATCCATGCCTGTCTGAGTTCCCGTCGAACAATTTCTATGAGGGGACGTTGCAGAATGGTGTAACAATGAATCAGAGATTGTCACAAGGCATTGATTTTCCCTGGCCGGTACCCAACAGGCCTATGTTTTTCTACGTGCAGGTAATAGATTGTAAATTTTCTTTTTCAACCTTTAAAACGTCCAGCTCAAAACTTGCAATATGTGGCATTTGATAACGTTTTTTGCTTGAGAACCAGATGGGACAAGAGGAAATAAGTGCTAGTGGCACATCTTATTTGAATCGAACGGAGTCTGCGAATGTCGAGAAGATTGTTACTACGTTTTTGAAAAGTGGAGTCAATCCTAGTCAGGTATGTTCGAAGAAGTCTTGACTTGCTGTCGCTTCACCCGTCCTACTAAAGTAAAGTGAAGTCCGCGTCAGAGCGAGGAAGTGGAAAGAAACTTGAAGCTCGTGTGTAGAAAATGAGTTGCAGGCTGTACTCTTGCATAATAAATTGATGCTGGTCTAACGCATAGCGTCGTTTTGAGGTTTATCCACTTTAATGAGAAGATCTGTCGTTCAGATTGGAGTCATCACTCCATATGAAGGCCAGCGAGCTTACATTGTGAATCACATGGCAAGGAATGGTTCCCTTCGGCAGCAGTTATATAAGGAGATTGAGGTACACGAACTTAGATTCGTGAAGATTTCGGAGTCCTCTTTTGATGCGTTTTTATTCATATCCTGAATTTTTCACTAATTGTACAATACTTTGGTGTCGTGACACATCCAGGTAGCAAGTGTAGATTCATTCCAAGGTCGAGAGAAGGATTACATCATTCTCTCTTGTGTGAGAAGCAACGAGCATCAGGTGAGGCTTTCGATCATTGATCTCTAGCTTTATAGTCTATACATCGAAGATATTGACATCTTGCAGCTAGTAATGCGATTGTTCTATTGTAAGTATATCTTTCAGCGGTTGATCATCTTCTCTTTGATTATCTTGCAGGGTATCGGCTTCCTCAATGATCCTCGGAGGCTGAACGTGGCACTCACTAGGGCTCGGTACGGAATAGTAATCTTAGGAAATCCTAAAGTGCTCAGCAAACAGCCTCTATGGAACAGTTTGTTGACCCATTACAAGGTGTGCCAAGAATTCTTAAACCGAGTCTCTTATGTTTCCCCACTGTCTCTTTGTTTCGTCCAAGTTCAATTTCTGATATATCAACTTTCATCGCTGACATCTGCTCAGTCTGCATTTTTCTTTTATAAATGATCCTGCAGGTTCTTCTTTCTTGCAGATAAACTGATATTTCTACTGGATTTTCACATGAAGCATTTGCCTTCCAGGATATGTTCAACGGCCAGGTATAGATGGAGTATGGAATCAGCGATTGGTATACTAATATTGTGATTTTTCATCGTGCAGGAGCATGAGTGTCTAGTCGAAGGTGCTCTCAACAACTTGAAGCAGAGTATGGTGCAGTTTCAGAAGCCAAAGAAGGTATGGGAAATTTGTGCCTCGCTTATTGTCTACTGTCTTCAAGACTTGCTTTGAGCATACGAACAGTCTATATTCTCGACCTCTGACTTACCTACCACGCCGGCAGTTTTACCTTTAGTCTCTTACCTTGTGCTGCCCAAGGGTACTGCAGGGCCTTCGATACGAAGTCCTCTAGTTAAGGAAGAAATCGATATGCTATCTTGCCAGGGGTCCAGCCTAACTTTCACTTTGTTACCGTTCATCAGATCTATAACGATCGTCGTGTTTATCCGGGTGGTGGCCCTGCAAGTGGTTCGGGAGATGGCTTTGTGCCTGTGCCAACTGCAAGTGCTGCTTCGGGAACTGGTTTTCATGACAGGCGAAGCAGCCGTGGAAGAGTAGTGGATGGACGAAATGGTATGTACTGTGCTGGAACCACCGTTCCTTCACCGAGAGATTTTCGGAGGAATAGAAGATTTCCATCCTTCTAACCTCTTTGTTAAGCAACAGTCGTGCATAGTATGTGAGGAGTCACTAAGATCGGTGCATATGTCTCACTAATCAGGAACTGGATACATGAACTTTGGAGGTATGACGAATGGGGTTCACAAGTCAGGTGTTCCACATCATGGTGGTCTTACTCCCTCGCGCATACCGCTTCCAGCGTTTCCTGGTGCGCCACACACTCAACCGTATGCTATACCATCTCGGGGAGGCGTGCACGGGCCTATCGGGGCAGTACCACAAGGTCCTCAGGCTGGCAGTAGAGGCTTTGGTGCTGGTCGCGGAAGTGCCGGAGGTCCCATTGGAGGTCACCTTCCCCATCACCAGGCTTCACAGTCACATGGTACAATCAATGCAGGCTTCTCGTTCGCAAATATTGAAAATCCTGCCACACAGCCTTCTGTTGGCGGACCTCTACTGCAGCAAGGTTTGATGACACAGGTAAAATTGGACCCCAAAGGCTCAACTTCTCTATCCTTGAATGAGGGCTGGCAGTAACTTCTGTTTCATTTACCTCAACGGTTCTGCTGTCGTTTTCCTTTATTGTAAACTTTTATAAAATATTCGAAATATCTGAAACTTTCAACTGGTCTGCAGACACAGTCTCAAGGCCTTAGCCAAAATCTCCGAGATGGGTTTTCTCTCGGCATGTCACAGGTTAGTCAAAATCCTTTCAGTCTAGAGGGTTTGCTGACACTGTATAATATTCGAAGTTCCCGTGATGGCAGAGGTTGCGCAGACTATGTCGTGCTGGATCAAGAGCAACCAAGGTAGTTCTATCAGTTCTATTACTTACTCTGATTTGTCTACTATTTCTTGGTGTGTCTTAGGATTTTCTGGGCGACGATTTCAAGTCGCAGGGCTCGCATGTCGCCTACACTGGACCTGAATTTTCTACTCAGGTTTGGTTGCATTCTTCCTCAAGTGGAACTTTGTCTGTGGATCTAGAAATTTAGTTCCTTTTGTAGGTTCGAATCAGATAGAAGCTTGATTGTTAACTGCTTGGGGTAATTCGTGCAACTGTCCAGGCATCTCAAGGTGGATATGAGTACGTCACACAGGGGAGCCAAGGTACTTATTCTGGCGATTTTATGAATCAAAACTCGCAAGGTGGCTATCAGCACGGTACAACTGGTAGTGACTTTATTTCACAGGTATGAAAGTCGTCGTCTCGTCTATCCCTGTTTGCACTAGGATCGTCTAGGGTTCGGTTCGTTCAGGGTTTAGGCCCTAGATTCAGTTAGTTAGTAAGCGTGTTTTGTTGCCACGAGGATTCCTTTTAACATAAGCGTACTTTTTCAGGATTTCATTCCGCATGGATCTCAAGGACTATTTACACAGGTCGGGTACAACGATCGTACACAGGATGGGCCATCTACGCAAGCACATTATGGGCTCGGTGGACCGCTTCAGTCGCAGGTTCGTTTTTCTCAATGTCTAGTTTGTAAGTATATTGGAATATGGTTATTTTTTCACACTACGGTGTAAATAACATGTTCAGTCGTGGGTTCAGTGTGTTCAATGTACAGTAGCCTCCCACTTAAGTAAGCACCCGTTTAAGTACGCAACCCAATTAAGTACGCACTATATCAGAAGATTTTCAGGGATCAACACTTTCAACGAATTCATGGTAAATTTCAGAGATTTCACTGTAAATTTCATTGTCAGGACCAGACTATTGCTCCATTCAATGCCCTGGGGCAAGGGAAGTCAAGCGAGAGAACTCTAACTATCAAGGGCGGGGTTGGGAAAAGGCCGAGATGCAAATAATTCGTTCCAATAATCTAGTCTTTTGCTTCTTCATATCATGTAACATCTAGCGCAAAATAATATTTGACACCCGAAAAAATGGTAGTATCATATGGTGCATGATAAAGGGGGGTGTGAGGGAGAAAGGAAGTGCTTGAAAATAGTCAGAAAACCACAAAAATAATGGCGCGATGCCAAAGATCCGAAAGATCTTTGGCATTCACGACCGGAGGGGGCGTAGAAAATTGTCCACTAATTGCTAGATGCATCATTAATTTTATACCCACGCACTAAAGCAAGTTTGCTTGGAGTATTCTACTTTCTCAGTTTTGAAATGATCTCACATCGTTGGCACTTGATAATCAATTTCTTGGACATTGGAGCTGTACGCAAATGATCTGGAAATGACAATGTTAAGTACGCATCTCCAGGTTAAGTACGCACAGAAGTTTAGGGTTCAAGGTGCGTACTTAAGTGGGAAACCATTGTAGTTGTCTCTGACACACCTGTTTTGCACTGTCTACGGCCAGGGTATAATGGGACCTCTGTATTCCCAGCCATTCACCCAGTATACGCAGCCGCTGACTCAGCAGCAACAGCAGCAGCAGCAGCAGACATCACAGCATCAGCGGCGTCACTACAATGGCTAACGCTTTTCTGAAAGGATGGTGATTGCATGACTCTGGTCAAGAATCCTGGGGAGTGAAAGAGCATAGCTATCTCTCTCTTGGGGCCTACAATCTCGTATGTACAGGTTCAACATGATGTCAGTGCACTGGTTGTGTGGGCCAGGGGAGAGTCGAAAGTTTGAGTAGCATGGAGTTACTAAGTTTTGGCCACGTGAAAAGTTCGTCCGCAAAGAGTACTGTGTGGGAACTGATTCCGAGATTCTTACGGGCGACTAGGGCTGGCCGAGGAATCACTTGCATCAGTGCCTACAGGATCATTGACGTCCTCTGCAGGGACCTTATTATGTACAAAGGATGTGCTTCTCTTGTTTCAAGAGCACAAGCTGGTGAACAATGAGCTTCTCAAGGTGGCAATCGCAGTCTGACTAGGAAGTTGATACAACTCAGGCTGTTCATTCTTGGGCAGCCTCTCTATGCTTTGTAGCCACATCTTTCAGAGCACGAAATCGTCTTCACCAAGAATGTCCTCCTTAAGTCTTCTCTGTGGACTTCGGTCCTCCTGCCCTCACAACCATCTCCTTCAGTATCACTGGAAATTACATGCACATACCCTCCATGTCGGAGATTCAGTGGAGGGTTGTATTACATTCCAGCTATTGCAAAGCATCGTGAAAGACCGCCAGAGATGGGCCCTCTCTGGCTTGATTCTGGAGCACATCTGTTGCTGAGCTTGTTGGACAGTGGTTCGTGCAGTGGATCTCTTAAGAGGATCAAAGCAAGTGTTGTTCTTCTAAGGTCGAGTGTCTACTTGTAGGGAGAGGATAGTAGTGGAGCTCCCAAATACAGTATTATGATCACGTGGGTGAAGAAGCCGAAGGTTTTGTCAGCACGCTCATTTTGCTCTTCGTGAAAGACGCCTTGGGAGCACATGGCCTGCAGCTTATGCTGAGGGTATTGGCTAAAGTTGTAACATGTGATCTTTTCTTTCTTGGAACTACTTCTACATATGGGGCAACTGCAAGTTCCAGTAGTTCTTTCTTTTCGATTAGTATTTCTCACTTGAACTTGAATTGTTGTAGCACCTGTCCATTTTCCTACCGTAGTGTCCCTTCGCTTTTCCCTAGTTCTTTGTATGCCGAATCAGTGTTGCTGCGGAATACTAAGCCAATCTACAAGCAAGAAATCTGCAGTTTCGAATGGTATCCATCTTTAGAACGCCTTACGAGGCTTATCAGACAAGCATCAGACTATGTCGTCATGACTTTGCACAGGTTGTCTTGGAATTTGAAAACGAAAACTTTTGTGTTAACGACGCAGAAATGCATGGTTCTTTTGCTTATCTCAATGTCTATAAATACTCTTTGTATCATCAGCTTTGGAGAGGGCAGAGTCGTACGTGGGCGGAGAGGGATTTGAAACTGGAATCTTAGAAAGAGAATTTTCTGTCGCCTAAAAGAATGCACGGATGGTGTGTGATTCAAACGGATTGTCTCAGTATATGCCTTCTGTAGTTCATATACTAAATAGCAGGTTTTTCTGTCGGCAAGATTTGCCTATCTATCGTGTCAAAGTTAGAGGTGTCTCCGTAGTAACTTATGAATCAACACGCCGAAAAAGGATAAGGACATTTCACCGGGATAGCGAATGTACCAATATTGCACGTTCACTTCAAGAACCACCCACAGTGTGCCTTCACGGGTATGGCGCATTTTTTTTATCCTTCGCAGTGCAGGACATCATTACCTTATGACTTGCGATCTCACCATCCTCTACCCAGCCTTAGGCGACATGACGTTTGGTGAAGTCACTGCCTACAGTGACGAAGCTAGGGGTTTAGGGTTAGGGTTAGGGTAGTAAGCACTGTGGATACTATAGACAGAAACTCTTAAGCATATTTTGACCGTGCAGTTTATACTAAGCATACAAACTGCACGGAAAGTCTCTACTGCAGTCTGGCTCTAACAACGAACTTGTACCAACGCTTCACAAATTTTTAATCACACCAATCAAACGAAAATTATCTTTCTTTGTCAAGTAAGAATGGCTTCCACATCTGCCCTTCGTTAAGTTCACGTTGTTATTGTGTTAACAAAAAGTGGGAATTCAAATCCCCTACATTGCAAGACACACTGGTGTGCAGTACATGAAGATAGATAGACTGAAACACAACTAAAGTCCCTGTTAAGTCAAGCATCGAGATCGGGTACGTTTGCAGTATGTAACTAAAAAATGGAATCCCTTGTTTGCAAAGTGAGACTACGGTTATCTCTAAACTAAGCTCTAACCCAAGACTGTGGTGCAGAAAATTATGTAACGAGTCTTGAATCGCGAAAGTTTCTAACCAAATTAGAACTGAATCATCTATGCAACGATTGATGTTTTCATATTTACGTGATATGTTACTTCCAAACTTATCTTGGTTTATCTCCTTATTTTTAAGTACATTTCATATCTTTTTTTGACAATCCAAATCATGGTTATTTATATTAAATCTAAAGCATATTCAAAATAACTTCATAGTGAACAAATCAAATGCCTTATACTACTTACCTTTATAATAATTTAAATGCTCTTGTAACAAGAGAACCTGTCTAAATTGATATCATTGGTACCGGTTGTTTTTATCAGTTAATAGAGGTTATTAATTCAGCCAGGTCTGCAGTAACTGTGCTGCAGCCATTTTGGCCGTTGCCAGTGATATCAAAAGATTCATTTGTGAGGAGCAATGAAAAGTAGCTCAACAACCAGATTAACACATGCACACCAACCACAACAACTGCAACACACTCCATCACCATCACAACATGCCTTAGCGTGGTGTTCAACACACGACACTACATCCAACACATCCAAAAACCAACCACAGCAACTACAACACACTCCATCACCACCACAACACATCCAGAACATGTCGTAGCGTGGTGTTCAGCACACGACACTACACCCAACACACCCAAAAGATGTTGTAGCGTGATGTTCAACACACGACAATGATAGATGAGCTCCACAATATTCTATGTAGGTACAAAAGCAACAACCACAAAGTCACGCAGAAAGAACTTGCAGCATGGTTTGAGGAAGAACACAACACAAAGGTTGTCTAGTCATCCATTTTAGGTAGACTCAAGCGCTATGCTGAGTTGCTCCAAATGGCAGACAACGTCAACCTCAACTTGTAACACAAGCGCACATTAAAGTATTCTCAGATGGAGGAGGCTTTAGCAGAATGATTTCATGCAAATCAAGATCTCCTCAACATGAACGACAATTTGTTCAAAGAGAGCTCAAAAAAGTTTCTAGTCCGTATCTATCATGTACATGCTGCCTTTGAATTTCTTAACTGTTAGCTCGAATCGTTCGAGACACATCACAGGATCTGTTCATATCGCGGCTTTGAATAGAGCGGATCTGTGAACATGGAGTTGATTGAGGATGAAAGATCTTGGACAAGAAGGAGATTGGAAACATCTACAACATGGATGAGACAAGACTCTTCTACAAGAAACAAGTGTGTTTTGAGCTCATGTGCAATTGTTGTCTCAGAAAAACAGGGCTCTCAATTGTTCTAGAGTATAACCAAGGCTTCTGTTATCAGATCGATCACTCTCTTGTGACCAAGTAGCTGGAAGACCGGAAGCTTACGCTTGTTGTTTGGTGCAACGGCGATGGTTCTGACAAACTTCCGTTGTGGATCATTAGAAAATTCAAGAGTCCACGTTGCTTTGAGAACATGAATCTCAACAACTTGGGTTGTGTCTACTACAATAATGCGAAGGTTTGGATGACATAGATTGTTTTCCTTGAATGGCTCAAAGCATTTGATCTCCATATGGCTAACAAAAAAGTTCTTCTCATCAAGTACAATTGCAGTGCTCACATTCCTCTGATTGAGCTTCCTAATCACATCCACCTGCGGAACATGACAATCTTCTACTTACCACCAAACACCACGTCAAAGCTGCAGTCTTGTGATGCTAGAATCATCCGAAACTTGAAGTCCTACTATTGGCAGTCTTTTAACCATCTTTCTCTGGCAGCAAATAGAAGACAAGATGTTCGATTTCAACAAGTTGGACATTTTGCAAGCCATCAATTTCGCAGTTCCAACATGGAGTGATGAGTTCAAACCCACGACAATTGCCAACTTCTTTAGACACTACAGAATTCGGAATGTGGCCCATATACTAAGGGAAAATCAGCAACAGTTGATCACTCAAGAGAAGACCGTTGTTGAGGAAAATCTTGTTATTGAAGAGTACCTTGTGGATTAGCAGGTCATTAAAGATCTAGAGACACAAATTCGGTAATTCCATTACATCAATTCAATAGATCTTCATAATCTTTTCAATTTTTAGGATGAGATGGTGATCACATATCTACCGGACCTTGACGAGTTCATTTAAGATCACCTTCTCACATAGGTTGAGAATGCAATTGTGCACAAAGACACAGTGAGCTGCTTCCTCCGATTCCAGCCGCTGAGGCACATCGGATGATACAAGCGCTCAAAACCTTCTGGATGCAGTATGCAGATACAAAGGATAACATCATGAGAACCCTGTAGCATATGAGTATTAAGATTAAGGCTCACCAAAAGATACAGAAGGGGATTAAAAGCTACTTTGTCTGAGCTTAAATAGCTTAAATAGCAAGTAAGTATGATATATTAGTTTACAAAAGTTGTGGGACCGAATCAAATTAATCAAATAGCAGATACACATAGGTTTATTAATTCCAATACGTGACGTGGTTGGAATCAAAAATACTTGGCAGTTTAGAAAGATTATCAGATAAGGCAGTATCATTTTAGGTAGGTTTAACTATATATTCATTAGGAAGTTTTACAAATTCATTTTTCTTCATAGAAATTTTTCCTTCGTTTCAAAATGAATCAACATTTTCAGTTTTCTAAATGTCATGACATTATCTAGTTCATCATTTTCTCGTTCTTCAAATCATATACTCATGCTATATTTTCTTACTCCTCTATTCATCAAATAGAAAGATTTGTGAAGCAAGATAAAGGATTCATTGCTTTATCACATTCATGATTGTTGAGATTACAAATAAACTAATCTTACTTCTCTTAATGTTAATTCAATTCATATAATTGTGATCAAATTTGTTGATTACATAATAATTGTCTTGGCTCTCAACTTTTTCTTTCAGCTAGAGGTAAAAATAAGTTTATTTTGATTGTATACATGATAAGTATCTATTTTGTGCTCATTGGAAAGTAAATATTTATTTCTTGAAATTCATTTTAGCTTAAAAGTTATTGATCCATACAACTGGTTTTGAAAAACATACATCTATTCATCATTGTTATAAACATTGAAACAACTAAATAAACTTGTTGACATTGCTTGAAATGTCACAAATTGATCATATTTATTCTTTTCCTTTCAATTCTTTTAAAGTAATCAAAAAGTCAAAATATCAATTGATGCATGTATCCAACTATAAAAAACATGTGATGTAAATTATCCGCAAATTTTGCAATGTATCTTCATCAAACATCTTATTCAATTCAATGCTTTGAATATTGATAGCAAGATGTAGCTAAGCTACATTATGATATGATTATAAATTCAATTGTAATATGAAATATATTTCATTGTAATATATGACTTGTTCTCATGAACGTGACATACATCATCAACTTTGGGGTTTATGGCGTTGTCTTAACAACCAAATCATCTCATTTAGACAACTTGAAGTCCTAATAGTGGTGGCGGTGCCTTGTGCTTGCTTGTAGTATATATATTGAGTGTTAAAATATTATTTCTCATTCTCATCAACACCAATTGTATCATATTCTTGCTTTCATGAATCATGGTTTGTTCCTTGACATCTGAATCTACTTCAACCTTTGTTCCCGTTTCAATTTGAGGTATACACTCAATTTTATTTTTCTTTTTGTCCAAGAATTTTTTCTACGATAGTTTGACAAAATGCTTTCAAATCTTGTACTTCATCAATTTTAATTTACAAACTTCTTGATACATTTGATTTAAATTAAATCTTGTTGTAGAGAGTGCATGGACTTAAATTGTTTTTTGATTTCAATTTCAATAGAAATATTTTTTCTTGCAAAGAAAAAATTAAGCTAACATATGCATTTGTTTGAGAATGATAAAAACGCGAGCATCAATGTTTTTTGAGGAATTTTTGCTTATTGATGATGACAAATATTTTTAATAAATCAAATTTTGATTCTATATTTACTTAAAAATATTCATCCAATCCAAGATGAAATACTCAAGTTTTGATCAAGTCGTTTACAATAACATGTGTAGCACGTTGCAAA